CCCTGCCCCTGTAGAAAGCCTCTTCCCCTCCCCCCTCCTGCCTCTCTCCCTCCCTCCTCTCGCTTTCTCTCCTTCCCTCTCTCATGCAGGTTTATTTTCGGTGGAAGTCTTGGACATTAGCTGCCCCGCCTCCATAGTCACTGTACAACTTGCCCAAATTCCATTATCAACTACTATTCTGTGCAGAACAACAGAACCCTCGGTTCTTCGACTAACTCTTTGACTCAAGGGTCAAAGCCCTCAGTTAAAAGAAGTGAGTGGGCTGAGGGGGCCAAGAACCGCTTAATAAATCCTATTATTTGGGGCATGTTTGTTTATTTCAGAAAAAAATAGAAGCAGGGCACAAGTTTGATGGTGGTACCAATCGAAGAGTAATGAAAGCAAAAGTCGTCAAAATTGTTGGTGTTTGACGTTATCCAGAATCTTAATCCACTTGCACCTGGAGAAAGTATGGAAAAGTGCCTGAGGCCTGAAGCTGAAAGAGGCCAAATAAGAATAACTGGGGAAAATATGCAACAATCTTAACTGTTTACAAACACAAGCCTACTGCCTCCAATACACTAGGTACAGTTGTAATGACTGTACTGTCATTACAACTCAAATACTGTTGCCTATTCTTGTCAGGGTCCCAGGAGTCAGACTGTTGGTGGGGGGCTCGTACTGTGCAAAACATTTGCCACACACAAAATTTTGCACAAATCTGAACGCCTTATTGGCTGAAAACATGTCTCACAAAGCCAACTACCCAATATCAACTAATAACAACTACTTGAATATTTCTGTGGACCTGGAAGCTTCCAAAGTCACACCGCTGCATTTTAAGAAACTTAAATGTGTGACTGACTGTGTGATTACAGACACCTGTTGAAACAGGCCTAGAACATGGGCCACTATATCTCTATGCCCCATGGCACAACTGGAAATTTTAACATTTTGTTTCAGTTGAAGTCCATACAATGACATTCCTGTTGCCAACAGGTCTGAGGATTGGCCAATTTGAATTTAAATTCAGCATGTTGCTTTCAGAGCCTCCACTTCTTTTTCCACCCAACCAGGGACCACCAGAGGCACTCTCACACAGACATGGCTCTGATAAAGAGGCTCTTAAACCCTGAGGAAGTCTGTGTTAGGTCTTTCAGGGGGACAATCCTTACGTCTGAATACAACCTTGAACTCGGACCCCCCCTCTCTACCTCCCCACTCTCATTACTGGACCCAACCCCACCCGCCCCCATCTTTTGCCGGCTCACTTTCTCTGGGGTCCTTCTCTTGCTTTTCTCTCCCTCCCTTTCAGAAGTTTGTGTTCAGTCCTTTTCCACTGGGGAAGTCCGGGCCGTCTCTCCCACAAAGCTGACCGACTCCAAACGTCTTGTCTGCGAAGCTTCATTAGAATTCATTTGTTTGAACAGCTTCAGTTTTTTTTCTTATGTCGCTCCCTCTCTTTGTCCTCTTTTTGAGCCTGGGGAAATGCAGATTAGCACACACACATACACACACATCCTCAACTTCACCTTGAGTGACAGGTTCAGTTGCATGCACATGTGCCCATGTGTGTCCTTACTGCATCAGTTTTAACCAACTCTGGTTTCCATGGCTGTCTTCTCAATGCACCCACAGGGCAAAAAACTGATAAATGATGGGTTCTATATGAACAGACCAAAAGGTTCAGTGTAATTCAAGACCAAAAGGCATGTTCACAATGATGCCTATTACTTTGGTGCTCCGTCACTTCTGTTAGAATAGATTACTGTGAATTACAGCTGATCAGATTACCCTGGGATTCGATGTACAAAACCAACACTTGCATTAGCAGACAGCTGCTGGAACCAGATGTTACACAGAAGTGATTTTCCAGTAAAGCACAACACTTCAGTCCAGGAAACTATTTCCAGTGTACAGTATGTATAAGTGGGACAAGAGAGGGTCAGCATGGAAACACTGATGCAGAGCAGAGAGAGAGCGGGAGAGAGAGGAGTGAATAATCGGTCAACTGACACCAGAGAACTGAGACAGAACGGGAAGAGAGAAGAAAAAGAACTTACCAAGTCATGTCTGGCTGACTTCAAAGTGCCATGAATGACTCAGACCATTTACTGCTGGGCCCCAGGTGTAATGTAACGCTTTACAATAACAGCAGAAGAGCTCGTTTACTCTATTTGTGGTCTTGGGGGTCTTTACGGCCTCAGAAATCATAAAGAGAAAGTCTGATTTTATTAACAAAATTAAAAGAAAAACACGGAATGAAATAATAAGAACCACAAATGGGCCGTGGGTGTGTACGATTTCGACGCATTTAGTTATCCAGGCTCATGAGAAGCGCCGTTCCTCTCTTGACCCAGTGGTCTGGAGGGACAGATCCGGATTTCAGCTCAACACCGATCACAAAAGACGGTCGTCCTGCTCCTCCGGAGCGCACTGGGAAGTAGTAGCACGGACACAGGTACATGACTGAGAACACACACAAGAGGTGAGGAAATATGGCTTAGTCAGGGGAATTAGAAAAACTAGGGCTGTGATTACACATTTTAATCTGGTTAATCACCAGGTAGCTGTGGATTAATAGCAATTAATCATGATTAATTGTCATATGATTGTCCAATATTCACAATTAATACAGTCATTTAATATATTAGGTCTAAAGTTCCTAGCAATAAATTTTGTAACGGTGTCAGTCAACTGGCTGGACGTACAGTTCGTGCCATATAAAAAACATCTCACCCTTGCCCATCTTCTTGCGGTTTTCCACAGGTTTGAAGTGAATGGTGGGGACAGGACAGTACATCTGCATGGGTTCAGCTTCCACCAGACAGGAGTTCTTTTTGTCCCAACCAGCGCCCTCCAGGAATAAACCACGAACAAACACTCCATCCTTGAAAAGCATGTGAAGAGAGAAACCGTGAAATTGAGAAGAAAGGCAAAAAGTTGAAGGCATGTGAACAGTTATTTTTTTGTTCAGCCTTGAAAAAAGGTTTTTTACTTTTATCTGGGTTAGGAGGGCACAATTAAAAATTAGACCAAAAAAAATGTAAAAAATGAAGACGTGGCAATGAGAAAAGATACAAAAGAAAACCATAAATCCAGTAGTGGTTAAACAGGGAAATGGGAATGGGAGAAGATTAAGCTATGACTGAAAAAATCATATTTTTCAAGTGGAATGTTAAGGGGTAAAATTAAAATGACATAAAAATGGCCAAATAATTTAAAACATTTAACCCAAAGCCAATAATTAAACAGAAAAGACTTAGAGAGAAACACAAATGTGAGAGGAGATTTGTTGAGTGTTACTAAGTGATGTGTTGCTTTGAATTAAAAAAAAAGGGAAGGATTCAGTAAAAAGAAAGTTGGACAGCTTCAGGAAACAGGAGTGACAGCAGGCTTATGGAAAGCTTTATGGAAATGTGTGTGTGTGTGTGTAGAGGGAGTCACCTTAGGAGGACAGACGAGGCTGCTGTCATCAACAGAGGACACGATAAACTCCCAGGACAGTGTGTCCACGGATGTCTGCAAAAAACAGATTTGAAGACAGTTACATGAAGGGCTGATAAAAAAAGTCTTTCTCTGACTAAATAGTTTTTCAACAGTTCTATAGAGTGGTTTAGAATGGTTTCTAAAAGCACTACATGGAGTGGTGGAGTTGTTTGGCTGTGAAAGGCACAGATTTATGTTTGCACTCAAAGACAGAGGGAATAGAGAGTTCAGCTGCTCTGCTACACAAGAACAGAAAAGGACTTCACTGTTTGCATCAGCAAGTGGTTTTAACTGTGCATTAGGTATATGCTAGTGATTTCCAAAGTAGGGGGCGCAGGCCTGTCCAGGCGGCAACAAGGCAAGTTAATTTGAATATTTAGTTTGATCTTGTTTTTATTATTTTATTTACTTTAACAAATTTGAATTTAGGTTTGAACAAGGTTCAATGGAGATTTGAAGCAATCGTGACAATAATGATAACAACACTGCAGAAAAGGTTTGGGAACCACTGTTGTATGTAAAAATATGACCAACTGAAAATGAATAAGTTAACAGTGAAAATCTGCTTCAATTAAAATGCACTTCAGATTAGGTGTACGATATATTCCTTTCTTTCTAGTGTAAAGTCTTACATGATGCTGTCGTGCATAGGACTGCAGCACGGCAGTGAGGAAACCATTGGGAAAGGTGAAGCCGGAGAGCCAGAACAGACAGGGAGGCTGGGTTGTCTCAGCCCAGCGTGCAAACTGATCGACTCGCTGGCAAAGATCCCTGGTCCAAGCTGCCAGGGGCTTCGACGATGGGTAGGTCTGGTGGACAGAGAGAGGGAGAGACAGAGAAACAGAGAGTGAGAGAGGGAGACAGAGAGAGAGGGGAAAGGCTAATCAACAGTCTTTCCATGTGTCCAGCTGTTGGCAGCTATACATAATGGGAAAAAGCTCAGTCAAATGCATAAACAGTGAATCTGCTGAAAGGCCTGGAAGTCTCACAATCAAAGAGGATGTGGAGGAAAGGGTGAAAAGGTCACGGTCAATAAAAGATTATGTTTTAGTCGGACAATGCAGAACATGACAATAAGTCACATGGTAACTCTGTAATTCTTTAATTAGACTAGTGTTTTTATAAAGCTGCTCCATATGAGTAACCAACCATAAAGTGTCCAAATACACCTTGAAAATTCCACCAATTTCAACATTTCTATTTGTTGTAGACCAAAAACAAACTGTCCAAATGGAATGAAATGAAAGCTTTAATCTCTAAGCTGTGAAAATGTAAGACAAAGATTGTTTCTTTCTTTGAGTCAAGAGAACTCATGATGTTGAGAGGACCAACAAAAACATAGCAATCAACACTATTCCCAGCAATCTGCCTTACTTTATTTTCTAATACAAATAGAAAAATGGGAGAACTGTTACTTGGCAATCAGAGTCACACTCATCTTCACCCAGGGCAACATCAGCCAGTGATAACTGAAAGACTGTATAAAAATAACTACTGATAAATAACCCTCTGTGTTTTTGATGGTTAGTCACAACTATTGTTCACTGCTGCTCAGTGTTCCAACCAAAATAATCTGAATGTATCTGGTGAAGAAGCACATTATTAAAACAATAACTACTTTATTAAACATACTCATTCAAATTTGATTTAACAACAAACAGTAATAAGGATTGTCTGGATCTGGTCCATGGGTCTTGGTCAGAACACACCTGATACGTATGTCCCATCAGTACACGTGTTTCTATATTCTGCCGAAGTTCTAAGTACAGGCAGAGGCTACTGCACTTGGCCACATGCAGTCTGGACTGTGCTGTGTGTAGCTGTCGGCCTACTTCACTCATGGCTAATGCACAAACCAATAACTCATCCCATGTGTCGGGTACACAAAAGACGTTTTCAGTACAGGGAGAGCATGTTTGCCAGCCCGGAGGCAGAAATGATCTCTGAATCGTCAGACATGTGAATTCAGTATGAATGTTATGTAATGTGGACATGGACCTACACACACACACACAACTGAGCTTTAAAAACACCAAAATGGCCAGAGAGTGAGCTGAGACCTAATGACAGACCCCTATGTCAAGGAGGGACAGATACATGGATGTAGAGGATGGGCAAAGTAGGAAGGCAGGGAGCCTGTTATTGCTGCTGGGACCAGATGTGGCATGAAGAGATAGAGGGAATAGAAAGAACAGATGGGAGATGCCTAAGGAATGAGACTGATGAGAAATAAAAACCAAAGTCAACAAACAGAGAAAGAGAGCATGACAAAGGCAATGAGAAAAGGCAGAGAGATGGGTGAGAGCCAGAAAGAAAGAGGGGGAGAAAATGGAGGGGAGACAGAGTTGTCTAGTTTACAAGTGGTCAGGGTAGGTTCAGCTGGGGGCTTCAGCTTTAATGGGTTTCTAATACCCAAGAAAAGACACACACACACACACGCACGCGCGCACACACACACACAGATGCTTACACAGTACATCCAGCAGTAATAAGCTCCTGGCTGGAGCACAATGGGCTCTGGGTGTTTTTAGGATTGTGGAACAGGCCTTGGAAGGTTTACTTTCACTGACAGACACAGACTTTGTTCAGACACTGAGGGCCGCAGTGCTGTATGGTCCACCTGATCAGCGGCTACGCCCAAACATACACACACACACACAGATCCTGCATGTGCTTGACTGCTTTTATGCACAATACTGTCATAAGAAGACCAAAGACAAGTGAAGTGAAGCGACTTATTGCAGTAACACATGTACAGATAGAACGAGACACACACACATGTATGCACGTCCTTGAAAGGTAGCCAGAATTTTTCTGGCCTCTTGAACTCTGGTGACAGCCGCCTGTGTTCTCTCTCTCCACTCTAAAGAGACATCCAGTGATAATGAAGCCAGGACACAGCATTTGGACAGAATTACAGCTGGAATCCCGCCACAGCCCATCACTGTGTGTGTGTGTGTTTGGCCACAGAGGATATTAAATGTGTGTCTGTGTGGTGAGGCACAGTGATACACAATTACACATTTAATAACTAACCACTGAGTCAGTCCGGCCTACACTGGCAGTGAAGAGCAGAATCGGTTAGTGCTGATTAGATCACAAATTTTAACCAAACAACACACAAAAACTCAGAGTGTAAATCTGAGACTGGTCTCCCAGTGAATGTATTCAGATTGTGTCATGGAAAAATAACCAAGTGTGCGTCTACAATGAAACATGATCTGACAAACTCGCAGGGAAATATTTGGACAATACCTGACTACACAGCAAAGTACAGCCAGACTTGTAAAAGCTATTTTTGTTTTTCCTGTTTAACTTGGAAGCTTTCATCCCTGGCTACCCTTATCAAAGCATCCCTTAAAAGTCCTTTCTTTATTCAGCATACTTCGGCATGCTTTTTAATCTGGTGGTATTCCATTGCACTTGGTGCCATTTCAATGTAATTGATCTTTCACGGCCTGCTTTCTACCATCTAGTCTGAGTCCGATGGTAAAAAGAAAGGAAGATGACTGGCCAGGTCTCACTTCTTATTGGATCTCACCTTCCATATCACAAACAGAGTGTACAGGTCCAGCATGTCTCCACTGACTTCTCGGAATTATAGCAAATGTCAGGTTCTAAACACTGCGAGCAGCAGGGAGTAGGCAAAGCTAATAACAATATTTTCTGGCTAAATTCGCAGCGAATGTAGGTAAATGTGATGTGGGACATGTGTGAGTGTGTGTGTGTCACCTTCTCCCACAGCGGTGGTACACGGGCTTCATGGATGCAGTGGAAAGTCTCCTCCAGGCTGGGTGACATCACCACTAAGCCCTTGATCCCTTTTTCCAGTTCTGCTAGCGACAGGCTTAAAAAACAATGTACACAACACACAGTTGGTCTCTGATTGTAACCACTGAAAGTAGCTGCGCTACTGTGAACACAGTCATCCTATAAAATCACTACGACAGCACGATCAATGTGCTACAGCTATGTAGAACACAAAGACAGATGTAAGTCGACTCTGAGGTGACCTATTATTTCTATAGGTTATCATAAGAGAAACAACATAATAGTAATAATATATAATTATTTGTTGTGACTGTCTGGACATAATTAATTAATTAATTAATTAATTAGAACTTTATTGATGCCAATTTTGGGAAATTCTTGCATTAACAGCAGATCTGCTGTTAACAGGGTGCCCCCTGCAGGCACCAAGCATGTTGTTCCTCTGGGAATTAATCCCAGGACTCTCCACTATCTGCTTTAGACGCAGGTGTGCTAACAGCTACACTATGGTACTGACAGCAGGATAGTATATCAGTGATTCTGACAATGACAGTATAACAACTAAAACACAGCTGCATAAAGTCAGCTCAAGAAGAGAAGGGCCAGAAAAGAAAGAACTCGTACATGATGGTGTCCAGCAGAGAGTTGTATCTGTGAATTTCCTGAAGCAGGACAACATCCAGAGGTGACGGGTTTTCCTGGAAGAGTGTCTGTGTCATCTTGTAATCAATCAGAGCTGGAATCTTTCCGCGGACCTCTGCCAACAGCTCTAACACCTACAAGCACCACGGAAAATTGTTGGAATTCACACGGAGATAGTTTTTCCGAGGAGGAAAGTGCACTTTATCCCTCATCTTACCTTATCCTCTCTGCTAGGTGCCCGCCCTGCAGCTGTGGTGCTGCTGACCTGGGGCTGTAGGGAGAGCAGGGTGTCAAAGAGTGTCCTGGTCTCTGCAATCTGACTTGCAATGTCTGCATTGGGGTGCTGGCCAAACACTTCAGGGTGCTCTGTGGATGGCAGCGTGCTGATGAAGTCTTTGTAAGAGGACTGGGCTCCATCACTGGGGATGTAGTAGGACGTTAATGAGGACAACCTGACAGAGAGGGGAAATGGACAGAGAACAATATGCTTGTTAGAGGCATAGGTACAGGAGAAAACTTACACTCTCTCTCTCTGACACACGCTTCTAATACAATTTATTACATACATGCTGTAGAATAATGTCTTTATCAATAACAATACTACTAATAATATTAATAAAAACACGTTTGTTGAACAAATTATCAAATGTTTGTAGTCGCGCTGTGACAGGCTAACTGTTGCTTGCAAACTATTCATTCGACTTTTTTCCACATTATCTATTTGTAAAAATGCTGCTACACTGTGGATGTCTTTGAAATTTATACTAACACTAAATGTAACACTCAAAAGTAAATAATATTTTTTTTTAATTACCGGACGTAGACTTCCGAGCACGATATTCGAATTTGTTTGGGGGTTGGGATAATCCAAAACAGTGAAACCACGGGGGTGTTCTAAAGACAGATTGTTACCTGTAAAATGGGGGTGCTCAAAAACACCCCTATATCACTTGGGACTTTCCACTACGTGAAACGTAACGAACAAAATGTATATATATAAATAATAATAATAATATATATTAAAAAATTAAACCAATCACAATTTCGGTCGAACCAGAATGTACCAACCCGTGAATCGACTGAGATAATACAGCTCTACCGTGTAATTTTGTGTAATAATGCAATAAAACAGCAATGAGAAAAACAGCCTAACAGTTTTACCAGATGGACAGCTGCAGGAAGATGTAGTCCCCCCACTGCGCCTCAAGAAACATACTGCCTTTCAATACAACAACAACAATCACCTTACTACTGTAAGGATGAAAATCAGATACCGTGAATCTCAGATTCATGCAAATTTATATTTGAACAAAATATATAAAATTAGTAAGGCCATTTTTAATGATGTGTAATTCATATATTTACAGCTGGTTAGTGATGTGACGTTTTGCTCTGTTAATTAAACTCGTCAGTGTTGAAGAGACGCCACAACATACACACTTCTTCTGCTGCAATCATTTTAATGTCCACTTGATGGCGCTGTTACTCTGCGACTAAAGAGGGAGTTTACTCCAGAACGTATTTTATAGCTGTGTCGTGGCCACAATGAAAATATCTTACCGTAACACTACCTAGATGTATTACCATGATATATAATTTGTCAAAAAAACAAAACACCAAAAAACAAAACAGCAATCAATCTTTAGTGGTAATATTTTAACATCCACATCTTGAATACCTGCCGAAATTGAACCAAAACTTTTTAAATAACATGTAGTCTAACTATAGTTTTTTTCCCCAACAATTTCTATAAGATTGCATAAGATTTGGTGAACTAAATGTGTCTGTGTGTGGGTTGGTGTCTCACTGGAAGAATGGCTGTGTAACGGCAGCGTCACAGAAGTAGTCATTGATGTACGTCGTCAGCAGACGTCTGTCCCACTCGTCTGTTACGTGACCTCCATAGTTGACCCCTGCAATTAGATACTTCAGTGCATCCCAGGGAATCTCCTCGTACTCATCCAGGTACAGACTCAGCAGGTTCTCACTCACCTAGATGTGGATATAAAAACCCCAAACAGAAACATAAAATAAATGTAATGGCACGTGAGACATTAGCACATAGTGAATAACAGAGAAGCACAGACCTCAAAGTCAGAATAGCGAGACATTCTCACAAAGTGAATAAAAGAGAAGCACAGACCTCAAAGTCAGAATCATTGAAGCCATAAACAATGTTCCAGCCCAGCTGCAGGAACTTCTTCCTTTCCAGCAGGATGCTGTGAAAGAAGCAGAGGGAAAAGAGGAGCTTCCTGTAGAACAAAGGTCTAGAGCAGCGGTTGAACTGAGCTTCTGGCACCAGCTGGTACAAACGCTTCATGTTAGCTTTTACACCCTGAGGACACAGGAAACGAAACGACACGTTTGATGCAGTTCTGTTAGGTTACCAATGAATTTGATGAAAAACTTTTACCTAAATAAAAAGATTTTACCTAAGATATATCGTACAGACTAAGCTGAAAAGCACGTTGGTATTCATTTGTCAAAAAAATATATTTGGACATTTAGCAATTTAGCATTTCAGAATAAAACTGGGTGCTGTAAAAATATGCAAAAATGTAAAATGCTAATAGTTCATATTTGGAATTGAGACACAATAATTCATCATTGTGACAAAGTTGGTGGTAAAAATTTAAAGTCACGTACGGGCTGGGAAATAAATCCCAGAACGTCTCTTCGAGGGCGTTCCTTACCTTTGGTGGCTCAGTGGTCATTTTGATGCCAGCCTGCAGTATGGTGATAGGAAACCCTGGGTGAGGTGAAGAGCTGAGCCACAGTCTGAAGTCAGAGTGTGGCTCTTGAACTTGTAACTGCTCCACCAGCTTGTCCAGTTCAGGCATCCATGAGAGAGACAGGTGGCAGTTGGCGAGAAAAACCCAGTGACCTTCACGGAGAAATGAACAGTGCTTCAAACAGACTTACATAGTCGTACACGTGTCTGTCACATTTAGCTTTTGGGTGAATAATAGGAGAAAAGACATTTTTGTACCATTTTTGACACCCTCTTCAATCATGCTCTTGGCGATAGGTGCCTGTCCTTGGCCCAGAGAGAGCGCGTGGAAGTGTTTGCTCATGTCACAGGTTTCAGCCAATTGCAGCAGAGCCGCAGTTGGGTCCACCCCAGGAGAGAGAACAAAGATCAGAGGAGTCCTGCAGGTGGACTCTTCCACAACCTGAGGAGAGGAAGGAAAAAAAAATACAAGGAAGAATTTGTTTTTTCTGTTGAGCAAAAAGGGCAACCCTCAAGTTCTACAAGGAAGAATTTGTTTGAGCAAAAAGGGCAACCCTCAAGTTCGCGAAAATATAAGGTTCATGTGAGCTGCCACTTACTGCTTTCATGTCAAGGACAGGAGGCTCCACAAAGCGAGGGCCCAAGTTCTTAATGATGAATGAGGTGACACAGTAGGGGACACGGTCCTGACGCAGAGATCGCACAACCAGCATCTTCTGCAGGTCATCACAGCTGTTTTCCCAATTAGCTAAAACAGACAGAGAACACAAAGTGACTGATGGGAGCAGAGTTTACAAGACTTTTTTAAAAATATATTTATTACATCGAAGACATTATCGGTCAGTCAGAAAGTTGAACATAATTTTTTTTTTTTCATAGCATCCTACAACGACTGCATGGATTGAGAACGATTATTGGTTAGTGTTCGGGTCTTAATGTTCTTTCTGTCTATGAGAAAATGACATGGGAGTTGTTAAAAAGACAGAGAAATGTACTATCTATTCAGGTCAGTGGTCCCCAAACTTTTTTGTACCAAGGACCGGTCAACCATTACTGCGTACCAGTAATACCACACCATCGCTGAAGGATCATTACCTTTTTTGAATAAAACATCTTTTAGACTTTATTCTGTTAGTTTGGAGTCTGAATGACCTGTTATTTTGATTACTTTTTAAAAGAAAACAGTAAAGAGATTCTTTTGGAAATAAGTAAATTGGTAAAACTGAAATATATTTTTTCACTGTGTCCCACTGCGGTCCAGTACCAAATGACCTACAGGCTGGCATCGGTCCCCAGACCAGGGTTTGGGAACCCCTGATTTTGGTAACATTTTAATTTCTTTCCCAGAAACCCAAATTATTTTTTTTATGATAATTACTACTTTTAGTATAAAGTATCGACGCAATACACAGACAAAAAACTCCTTAAAATGTACATTATTTAAAGTGTTTTCATTATTTAAATAAAATAAAACAGAATCCAGTCTAGTATTAAGCTCACTAATTTTAACTGAGTAAAATTATTTTCTTATTCTTCATTCATTTTACTTCACTGTAGCCAACCTGGTAATGCAGCATTTTCCGGATCAGCACTAGTGAACCAAAGGTTCCAGTCGTCAGGGTGGTCTTTGAAAGAATCCATGATACCGTGGAGGTTGGTCAGTTTATTCAGTTCAGTGATGTTGTCCCAGCAGGAGTCTGTCAGCCAGTTGTTGCAGGGGTTGTTCATCTGCTCCTCTTTGTCCAGCACCTGAAAATGTTATTTATGGAAGTTTTATTTTATAGAAACACACGAGAGTGGACAACAATAGCAATAAAGCACCAGACATAAATCATGATTGTCGAATAATCTGACCAGACTATACATAAATATATGCTTACGAGGAGAGGAAATGTTGCTACATCAGGAATTTAAATGAACAGAACTGTAGCTGAGGGGAAGTACACTATTATTTAAGGGACTGCGTGTTAAAGGAAGCATATAGTAAAAAGCTCAGCAAAATGTGTGCGTGTTTGAGCTTTTCTTACAAGTCCTCCTCTGAGGAAGAAACTGTACTCATCCACGTTGAGCTTGCCAGCCACCTCCAGGATTTTGGCACACATCTGGAAGCTGAAGAGAAGCTTATGGGCCTCAAACAAACCGCGGCATGCGTACCTGCAGAGAACAAGGCACTGACTTAGTCAGACCCACCAGAGCCCAGAGACTGCTACAAATAACCCTGTCATTTACAGCAGAATTGATGGAATGGAAATGGAAATTGGTGAGAAAATCTGTAAAGAATCGTATCGATAAGTGACGTTGATAAAAGAATCAGAGTTGATAAACCCCTAGTGTCAGTGCTCACCTGTACACTGCATATGTGTGGTATTCGTTGAGGTTGTTAATCCTTTCCTCCAGCTTGTGGCTGCGCTTACTTTTTTCTATGCTAAGATTGAAGAGGTTGACGTAGGCGTCCAGTGAGAACTGGTACATGGGGTCAATGCGTCCCATGTCATTCAGGATGAAAAAGAGGATGGAAGCTCGCTGAGCACATAGACGGTAGGCCTGCGGGAAATTCATGCTCTGGTTACAAAGTGAAAACTGCACAACGAGTATCAGCAGTATAAATAGAAGAGTGAACACAGTCAGTAGTGCTCTGTCCTCTCCCCTCCATCCCTGAACCTGACCTCTCTGGCAGAGTCGATCTTGATTTCAGTCTGTTCGCTGCTCTCCAGCTGCTCTGAAACTTCAGTGGACGTCACCTTAGACGTCTGCAAGGTGTTCACCAGCTGCACGTCGTCCAGCAGTGAGCCAGTCGCCTCGTTCAGCAGCCTGGTGGAATAGATGCGAAGACAGAAATGCAGAGAACGGAGGTAAACACAATTTACCAATTTTTAGGTTTTTAGGAACGCATCAAGCACTGCCTTTTATACACTGATTCAAACAACCTGAGGATCTCATCCTCCAGTTCCTGCAATCTTCTCTTGCCAGAGGCAATGCTGATCACCAAGGAATCCTTCTGTTCTTCCAGCTCTGGACGCTCCTTACGCACAACAATACCCAAAAGTTGGGCCTCCAGCCCCTGCACAAGAGCATGTACAAAAATGTAAAAGTATCCATGAGACTTGGTACAGGTAAAAATACATGGGTGCAAACACACCTGTTCTTTAACAGCAAAGTTGACAATGGTGGTCTTAGTAGAGATCTCTGGAGCGTAGTGGGGGTTTGAGAGTTTGGTGGTGATGTAGAAACGAAACTCTGGATTGTACTCCACCTCCTTATCACCCAGCTTCAACATCAGTCTGCCACCTAGGAAAACGCATTTAAACTTGAAGTGAATGGAGTTGAGGAGTGACGCTGTAGCTGGTGTGTATCAGAGTGTGTGTGACCTATTCGTGTCAGGGACTTGTTAAGGACTGGATTGAGAGACGGGTCCAGGTTTTCCTGTACATTCTGCAGCAGAACAGGATTCCCAAACTGAATGGCAGTCTCCAGCACCCGCAGGAAGTCTGGCATCTGAAAGTCGATGACTTTCAGGCCCTGCGTATTTCAACACATGATCACAGGAGTGAGAAAAAACATTTTCATTTTACTGTATATAAAACCAAGTATTCGTCTTAAAACTGTTGATTGGAGCCACTCTATGTGACAACTGATTACATTATTTTCCATTCTCCAATAGTGAAAATTCACTCAATTTAAAATTTCAATTTAAAATCAGACTAAGAATGGCTGAGCCAACACCCACTCTTTTTATCTCCATATTTTTGATCCACTTCAGAGCTTGGCCTTGAGGGTCCACCATCAGTGGCCAACTACAATGAAAAAGAGTTCCAGGTCAGTATTATGAATTGTTTTACAGTTGATCGAGAGATTGTAATCCACACATATTGTACCGACCGATTACCACGTGTAACAATCACTCCGTTCTCAGTGGAGAATGCATCAGAGGGCAGACCCTGAATGTTCCACTCCCTCACTGCCGTGGGCTTAGACAGAAAAACTGCAAAACTGAACCCAGGGGTGCAGGGGATCTCAAAGTTTTTCACCTAAACAAAGCACAAAGCAAGAGCGTTGGGATGCCCTTCCTGATGCAACACAGACTGTATGAAGTTTGGCACTTGAACCCAAAACCTTGTGCGGGGCACATTGTGTGTTTTGTCGTCACCTCATTCATCCAGATGGAAAGCAGCTCATCTCTGTAGTTGGAAAGAAACGGTCCCATATAGGAGAGGAAAGAGGCTGCAAGGAGACAGTCCCCTACCAGGTATCCCATGTTCTCTTCAAGACCCTGAAGTAAACACAGATACATAACACAACTGTATTTGACCTGCACGTCCTGGGTCAGGTGTTAAATATGAATCAGATCAATGTGCTGTAGATTCTGGTGTTACACTCGTGTTACAGCAGCAACTTGTTTGTCTTACAGCAGCTCTCTCTTCCCAGCGGACTCTTTCTCCCGCAAGTCCAGTCACCAGTTTGTCAGCTCGGTCCAGTTTCACCTCCATCTCCTCCGATTTCTTCCTCAGATTCTCTTTCGTGGCCAGTTTCTCCTCGTGTTGCCTTTTCAGCTCTTCAAGCTTCTCCCCCACCTACTCTCACATGCACACACACACACACACATCATAATGACCGCGTTGCATTTAAACTCGAGCGACAATGTCAGTGCAACTGCATACGTCTCTCAGACCTCTCTGAGTTTGTCCTGGGCCTCAGCGAGGGCAGCCTGTTTCTCAGCCAGCTGAGCTGTGGCTGATTTCAGTTGGAGCCGCTTTGGTTCCACCACCCTGTAAACACGGCCGTAAACCTGGAGGAACAGTATAAACACATGGAAATCCATTTCTTTTGGGGAGGGTTGCCATCCTTTTCTTTTGCCTTGTTCTCTCTGTACTAACTGTGTGAATGCCCTGGTTAATATGTTTCTATAGAGGTGACAAGCTCTTACCTCCATTGCTCTCACCCACATACAGAGGGACTTGGCAGCCAGTGACACTTTTCCAATGACCTCTGGCTGGAAGTCATCTTGTTTGCAGTATTGACCGATCCTCTTCAGCATACGGTCGGATATGTTGTCCTTATCGTAGTTCACTAGTGTTTTGATGAAGCTGGGCTCACCTGACAGAAAAAAATAAAAATAAAAATCTTCTTCTTTACCTTACTTGTATCTCTACAGAAAATATGTCACTATGTCTAAATTCTGGATTTTTAAACAGATCTATTGAATCTGACAATTGTAGAAAACATAAAAGTAATAAGTATCACACATTCCACAAGGAGTACTTGGCAGAGGCAACAATTTCTTTCTTTAAGTGCTGACAGGCATCTAATCCCTGAGTTTCAGTTGTCTTTTAAGGACATACATTTTGATTGAATATTTGTATTGAGAAATCAGTGTAAAACAAAACCTGTCTGACGCTTGTTTTACTCTCCCGTAGGGAAATACTTCTTTCCACTTGCATCATCTTGGCTGTGGGTCCACTATTCAGTCTGCTTGTCTGTTTTTCATTTGTTTTTTAAAAACATTTTTCACATTAAGCTTGCTCTCCAAGAGCCCTAGAGTCGCTGTCTCTCACCCAGCTGTCTCTTGGCCTCAGCCCATGTGGGTTCCTTGCCCAGCAGGGTCATGACAGCCTGCATCACTGTCTCCACCAACGCTGGTGGATGACCATACGACTTGATCTCCGTCATGTCTGTCTTATTCAGAGATTCCAGGGCCTGTGTGCACAGAGAGAATGCAATGCAAATAGTGTAAATGTAAGTCATATCTTATGGCTGTTGAAGTGGTTAAAGTTTCTGGATAAACAAATATGAGTTTTGTAAGTTTAATGTTTTATTTTTTAATTTTTTTTAAAGGTCTACTTTTGTTTTGAAATGTCAATCATTAAATATGCATTTACTAAGTTTCTGCCAGTAGGAGGCGCTGTGAGATGGCAGGGTTCCAACACCTCACAGCACAAAACTCGCTGAGGTTTCTGTCCACCTTTGTCTTTAATATAAGAAAATCCCTATTTCATAGAGTCTATGTCATATCTGTGTTTCAGCAGTAATTTCTGTTTCTTCTTCTATGATCCTAACTGTTGGGTGTCAAGTCGTGTTACAGCTATATTATCACCATTATGCTGCTGTTAAGTGTGATTAGGTAAAACTCATGGTAAAACTCATGGTAAAACTCATGGTAAAACTCATGGTAAAACTGGTAAAACTGATGAACATTCTTTTTTTGTGCCTTGGCAAAGTCCTGCGACCTACATGTTGAAAATGCGTTAGTTTAAAGAGGCTGATAAGTAATGGCTAGATTATTGATATTAAATATGTACAAAGGACATAAAAATGTTTTTCTGACCAAATATGTTTGTCTTGATTGGTACAACGTTTCTCTGAAAAGAATAAAGTGTGTCTTAAGTGACAACAAATACAGTCAGATAAAACTGGATAGCGTGTGGATCCACATCAATATTTTTTATTTTTGTCTATTTTAGCAATAAATATTGTCCACAGGTGAAACAACCAGTTCCAGGCTACAGTTTCACACACGATAATGAACAAAATAGCAGTACCTTCATAGCCTCCTCCAGTGCAGGTAAAGCCTGGTCCAGGTCTCTTTGTGCATTCTCAGCCATGGCTTTACAGTGTAATTCCTCAGCTCCAATTTTGTCACTGCTGGCACTCACAGCCTTTCAGCACAAACATGGACTGTTGTCAGATGTTGTGATTCAATCCAAAACGTAATTTATTCCACTAGTTCAGGTCCAGTGACTGTGAACCATCCCAAATTACCTTCTGTTGTTTGTCAGCCTCGTTCTTCTGCTGCACAATGACGGACAGGTACTCGTCGCACTGTTTCTGGAACTCTGCCACCTGCTTCTTGGCCTCCTCCAGCTCCACAGACATGGCCTCCACCTTCTCGCGGGTGTCACTGATCTTGAAAAGGCCGTTACGCAGTTTGCACACCTGCTCCCCCAGCTCACTGCGTTTCTCAGCCAACAGCCTGGACACATTATAAACACATCAGCCTGCCTTCAAGGAATCAATAAGACAGAGTTATCTAAAACCCTGAGGCGACAATTATAAGGCCTGAATATATGATATATGAGGAAGAAAGTAGGGAAGGATTCCTACTTCTTGTATCCAGACACCAACTCCAGGTAGTTGGTGGGAGTCACATAGTTGTGTCTTTTCAGCTCCAACTTCATCTTTCTGGACACCTCAGCCACCGACTGGTGTGTAGTCACAAAGACACTGGCAACCTTTGTCTGGATCTGTACCATTAGGCAGCAGATAAAAAAAAAAACATAAGGAAGAGTCTAATCATCAACAGAACTAATGTCAAGACAGTTTGTGTGGAATACTAGTACATAATTTAGTGCATATTAAAGCATTTGGGTGGAAATAAACGAAATCTGTTGAAAAGAGTAGCGTGTGAGGAGGGTGCAATGCTTAATGCACGTCAGTAGCACCTGGTGGCTGGTGGATTCAAACCTGCGACCTTCCGGACACAAGGCCACTTCCTTAATCACCAGGCCACCACTGCCCAGCTATATCGATACTGGTTGATATTGGAATCATAAATTAAGTGTTATATCGGACATCCCTAATATTGACTTCTGAATTCTATAGCATTATGTGAACACAGAAATACTATATGTGTATGTGTGTGTGGCTCACCCCCTCCATTGAGCCCAGCTCCAGTCCATCCAGATACCTCTGAGCCACCTCCAGCAGAGCATCTTTGGGCCACTCACAAAACCAGTCTATGGTGGTACAGTTGACGATCGCTGGGTACTGAAGGAGGCGGTTCCTGTTGGCAAATGACGGAAACTGTTTGCACTGAATTCATATCCTATTTGTTAATACGATGACCTCCAGGACTGCCCCGTAGACAAGCATAGTAACTACATATGAAATAGCACAGATGCACTGAGCTGACTGTGAAGGAGCATAATGAAAACACAATACACCTGGACAACTCTTCAAAGACATTTGAATCAACACTGGTTTCATCGTGAATGCAAATATTCTTGCTGAGATTTGTCCCTCTACAGTTGAGTACGGCAGACTCCACTCCAGGTTTAGAGAGCGAGTAATTAGGATTAGCTGTTTAATTGGTGCAGCACTCTTCCCTGAGTTTTGGCATTGAGACAGATTGTCTCAATGTGACTACCGGTCAAAAGGCCAAGGTCTTACTCACTGTATTTTTAATGAGCAAATCTAAATTTAGAGGCAACATTTCTGAAGGCTTGTCCATTATAAAAATGTCATATTAAAACAGATCTTGTCTAAAGATGTGTTGTATAAAAAGTTGGTTAATGTTTTGTGTTTTCAGCCGTCACACGTGTCATCTTAAATGTTTTATTGTGGAACACTCTCTTTTTGTGTCTTTACATGTGAACATTAGAGAATTATGTTTTTGATAGGTGTAAAATGTCTGTCTAACCCGTGTCACATGTACTACAATACTACAGTACGTACTCATACTGCAGGTTTTAAGTGTATAAGCAGAGCTGATCTTTCAGCTATGAGGCAACCTCCAATAAAGGTCGCAGTGTGAACCAACTGTTAAACATGATGTACTATTTGAGAGAGAACGCTGTAGGAACCAGTGAGTGAGACTACCTGAAGGGCTCCCCCACTGGGCTCATGCACAGCACCACATGCAGGTTGTTCCTGACTCGCTCGATCAAGTAGCTGAACAAAGAGTCAGGAGTCTCTGCCATCTTGTCTCTCCTGGCGGATTCTGACAGAGCATTGCAGACCTAAAGGCACAGTAACGTATTATCAGAACTGAAATATTATTTCTAGCCTGATAAAAACTTCAACAACCCAAAAGTTTAACATGAATTAAAAATAGCAAGTGCTTGTTATTAAACCTGTTTAATCAGACGACTGAACATGCACATGCAAACCCCGGTCCGCGGACCAATACTAGTCCATAGGTCATTTGGTACCAGGCAGTAGGACACAGTAAAAAATGTACTTAATTTTAACTAATTTACTTTATTCAAGGAAAATCCAGTCATATCCATTTACTTTCTTTATTTAAAGATAATCTGGCAATATTTAAAAACAGGTGGTACTGGCTGACCAGTCCTTGGAACAAAATAGTTTGAGGGCCGCTGTTATAGATGTAACTACTCCATAGCAGACTAAAACATGTTTCTGCAATTGATTATTATTTATTCAAGCTACAAATATTGTTCATTGCTGTGTAATTAAAAAAAAAACCTCTGCTGCATGAACTTTATTAAATGCTTTTTAAGCTCCGGCGGGCCACACAAAATAGCTTGGCGGGCTGCATTTGGCCCCCGGGCCTTGAGTTTGACACATATGCTTTAGAGTAAGACAATTTTCATACCTCGACAAACTCATCCTGCTTGTAGAGGTTAGGAACCTCTCCAGAACTCAGAATGTTATTGATGTCCTCGAGGAAGGACTCATCGACGAGCTGAGTGTCATTGAACAGGAAGACAGTGGGCTTGTTGTCCACTCCTGTCAAACGGTACAGCTTCTTCATGTCTGAGCACAAGGACAGAGGGAGAGTGTCGTTAAATGGTTACAGGGGAAGTCATCCAAAAACATTTTTCAGCTGAAATACATTGTCCACTAAAACAGGAGGCCGTGTTTTGATGAGGTTACAACAGTGCACTTGGACTCACCTTCCCTGAACTCTTGTTTGCGATATTGCTTTGTAACTTCCACCTGAAACACCTGGTAGTCGCAGATGTAAGCAGCCATCTTGGACAGGCTCTGTCTGCCTGAGCCGCCAATGCCAACCAGCAACATGTTTCCTCTGGGCTGACCGATCACACGGATCACACGGGTAACTGCAGAGAACACATTCATATTACTCCCAATTAAATGACTGACGCAAATAGTGCATAAAGTACATAAAGTATATATCTAAGTATAAATTGCCTTAGTGACATTAGTCAAACAGAATTTAAATTTTTTATAATTGGTTTCAAAAAATCCTTCTTTTTTTCCAGCCTTTTTGAGCTACAGCCCATATGTTACATCTGAAAAAACCCCACTGTGCACTATCAGACAAGATGTCACCATACTTAAACTTAAACTTAACTTAAACATAAATGTATGTAATAAAATACAATGACCTTCTAGCTTCAATTGATTCAAAATGTGTTTACCAAGTGTAAAACCTGGCCCTGTTTAGTTGAACACAACACTGAAATAGTTGCAAAATTGGAGAAAGCCACACAGAAAGATCTTCAACACTCTTAGTCCATTTTTTGTTAAACACCCATTTGCTGCCACCTAGTGGAAGAGTATTTTACTGTTGTGCCTGTCACCACAATCAAATTATCATTTGCAGTAAATAAATAATATATTTGATATTATTTAGTTATTATATATAATAATAATTAAATAACAATATAATAATATATTTCAATAATTAATATAATTAATTAATTTAATTTATATAATTTACTATATATATAAATATATATAAATTATATAAATGTTTTTTATATAATTTAATAATTTATTAATTTATAAATAAATTAATAATATTAATCATTATTATGATATATATAATAATAATAATATATACTAATATATATATTATTTATTATTATTTATATATTATAGACCAATTAAGTGAAACTGGACAGTACGTTTGATGATCTCAGTGTTTAGGAATCACTACGGATCATACAGACAGTGAGCATAGTAAAGACCATTCAAATCAATGACGTAGTGTAGTATTGCACCAGAATGACTGAACAGAATGTGATAGATTACGCAACGTACTGTGTTCAATGGCATCTTGAAAGAGCACCAGGCTCATGGGCACTACGCCAGGTGTGAGGTTGTAGTCCTCCAGCTTGGTTTCCATGAACTTCTTGAGATCATTAACGTCCAGTAGATCCTCATACACATGGGAGTCGTTAATGAAATCCCCTGACAGACACAAACACACACACGAACACAAAGAACAATTCAATGTCTTCTTGTCACACAAATAAAATTACCAATCCCACCGTGAAATTAATGTTTTTGTGTGTACAGAGGCAAAGTTTTCTGACTCAAGTAACAAACGTACCAAATAATGGTGGCTGTTTATTGGTGCACATGCTGTGGAAGGTGAAGTCAAAGAGTGAGCCCAATTTCTCTGTCATCAAGGCAACAAAGGCTTCTGTGTCACTGTTATCTACCAGCCGATCTGAGAAAACCCTGAAAACACATCACACAAAAAATATCAACCAGAGTTTCCAGGAGAAAAGCTTTTTAATCGAATCAAAAACAACTGGACACAGAACTACTGGACCCCATCATGGGCTCCTTACTCACCTGAAACACTCGTGCACCCAAAGTCTTGTAATGTTGGTTTTCGTGTCATGGAAGTCTGGATGAGCTCGTAGTAAACCCTGAAACACCTAGTGGTAAATATAGAATTTAGCATTAGCATATCCAAGTGTTTTTAGGGAACTATAATAATCTGTCTCTTTACCTTGGAGATGTCTCTGAGGTTGAACAGATAGTGAATCTTGGCCGGAGTGGGAAGAAATTGTGCAGTAACAGCGTAGTACAGCTCCAATGTAGCTTGAGTCAGTGTGTCTCCAATGGGCTTCACCTCCTCCTTGAAGCCTTGCAGCTTTTGATTGATCATGGTGCTGTAGATCCGTCTGATCTGGGACTCCTGCAGTGAGATGAAAATCAGCCAGGGATGTTAGATCTGCCAGTCTGGATGTCAAAAAGGGCTAAACTGCTAATTATCGCAGAAGTACACCCCTGACTTTAACATTTTCATTTGAAACATAACAAAGGGACACACAAGTAAAATGTTTTTTTGTTCACGTATTGGAAGAAAATTCAATTTTTGTAGAAATGAGAGGCAGTCTCCTGGTTTATTCTGTCTATTGACAGTGAAGTAACAAATGGATAAAATAAATTTAAATAAATTACTCAAGGTAATACTGAGATAACATGTATGTCTCACACAAATAAAAAGAGTTTCATCATCGAATTATGGTGAAACCAATTGCAACTAAAAGATCCAGTTAATCCTGTTGCAAATGATATGTATTATCTGTCTTTATCCACATCAATTACTTATATTTATCAAGTTTGTTTAGTTCTGTTATTTATGTGCAGAAACCTACATGTGGAAAGGTCATATTGATGAGGTTAAATCGGCTCTGTAAGCGTTCAGAAATGTGTGTCCTCCCTCCACCAGGGGGCCCCATTGAAGCCAGCAAGATCATGTCCTAACAAAGCAGACAAAAGTGCACAAAAAAGGAACAAGAATTAGGTTTTTTTAAAAGTATGCGAGTCATGCACATGCGTATTTCTCACTTACTTTGACAAATTTTCGTGTTTGTTTTTGGCGGTCATACCAGAAGCCGCAGTCGATCCACAGTCGCAGCAGTTCAAGTGGCGGCTGCGAGCCGAAAAGGTCGTGTGCTGGCATGTTCAGGTCGTCAAGGAAACAAAGCAGATGCTTCCCACCTGCTGGCACAAACACGCCTTTGGTCCTCTTCTCGATGCGGCTCTCTATGATGGCCTGGATGTTATTAGAGGTGGTCTGTACAGGAATATAGACCACAAAAATACATAATTACAGCTCCTTATTAAAAAGTTAATCACATTTTGGCTGAGGAGTCTTATTCAGAACATTTCCAACAGTGTGATTTTAGAGAATATTAACCTAATATAAATATAATAAATATATATATTTATATTATATATAATATAAATTGTTTTGATTTTTTGCAAAAACACTAATTGATGGTGCATTAACATTACCTTAAACAACAAATCTGAAAAAAAAAGTCTAGAAACAGATTTTTTCTATTTTTTTAACTTTTGCATTATGAAATCCTACAACGAACCGAACAACAAAGTCAGACACTTCAGAGAGCACACACACCTGTGAGGACATGTTGACAGTGAGGGCCGCCCACTTGTCGTCCAGACCTTGCAGGACACTTTGAGCCACTGAGGTTTTACCCGTGCCCACTGGACCAGTGAGAAGGACTGGGTGCTGCTCCGACACCAGAGCCTTCACTAGAAAATTGTAACGCAGGGTGTCTACAGTAGGAACCATAATCTTATAGAACGGAGCACTAAGTATGAGAAGAGAGGATGAAGATGGAAACATTCTGTTATCTGGATTGCACATAGCAAGATTAAATGACAGAAATAAACTGATAAGATGAACAATATATCATTTCCAACCTTGTATTGTAACGCCAATCTTTTGGCAGCTTATCTTCAAAGGAAGCCCAGGTCTTGTTCTTGATGTCCACAGTGTATTCATAAATGCTGTCCTGAGACAATACATAAAAATGCAGAAATTCAGCAAGGTGAAAAAACATGGCAGAGGACATGTCACTATGTGTGAGGATATTTTTTTCCTAATTTCTCAGTGCAGGCAAAGAAAAGCTAAGGCTGAACGAAGACCTTGATGGGGAAGGTCCCGTATATTTCACGCAAGTATTTGTCCATCTTCTTGCGTCCATTTTCATCAACGCAGGCACACACCGACCAGATGAGGCTGAAGATAAACCAGAACTCCACCATCCTGCCCAGGCCATTTGTATCTGAAGTGTTAACCTGGTTAGAAATGCGCATTTGAACGCATGTGGTGGAGAATCAACAAAAACAGACTTTCTCTCTTGGTTAATAAACTCAATTTATGCACAAATGTTAAGGTAAGGTAAGGTAAGCAAGTACATTTGATGTTATTATTCAATCATATGGTTTAAGATGACAGATTACACTTGACTTGTCATACCCCGTTGGTGGATGTGGCCAGTGAGTCGTACAGACGGCAGAGTGAGATGACTCCGTTTAGTTCTGTGATGGGCACTGGTTCATGACAGTTGTTTTTCTTGAAGCTCAGCGTGCTATCAATATATTTTTCAAAAAGCGGCTTTAAATGGTCAACCTCTGCCTGAGGAGGAAGATATGGACGGATGAATAAAATACAACGGCCAAATGACGACAGCTCACAGAATTAGTGTGTTAGATGGAAGGTTTTAAAGATATACAAGACAATTTTATGTTAATTCAAAAAATTGTCTTAAAAATATTCTGAGACATTCTGACAGGTACCATGTGTCGCTTGTCCAGCCAGGACTGGACAAATGGTCTCCAGCCCAGGTCGGTGTAATCGTTGTAAACCATCCCACAGCGAGACACAGTCGCAGGAGAAGCCATTGCTAAGTTCTCCACCTCAAACAGCAGAGACACCTGTAGGAAAAGCATTTACACGGCACAGATATTTTACTGTGTGTTTCTATTAAGACTAAGAAGAATTATCATAGCACTAGAAAAAATGAAACATTGTTACTTTACTAGGACCACTGGGTGACTAACGGACGTCAATGTTGTGTTCTGTACACACAGTCCAGTGAGTTTACAAGCACAACAAAACTGGCAAAGTAATTCCCACTTGGAAAGTGGTAAACTTGGCCATGTCTTAACTTGTTTGGGAACACACACTATAATCCATCACACATTGTGAACATGTTCCAACATACAAATATTGTCAGTGGACATTATGACTCATAACTATAGCACTTTTATTCAGTTTTACTCATACCGCCATATTGACTCTAATACTTGTACACAGTCTTATAGGTTACCTTGTCATATTCGTTTGTGTCGCGTTCTCTCACCTGTTCGGGCATAGAGATTCTCTCCCCATTGATGAGTGTGAGGACCTTGTTGTCGTCCATCACCGAGTTCATGCTCTCGATCCACAGCGTGTCGACGGGTCCATCAAACACGATCCACTTTTCATCAGGCTTCTCATCTGCAGCCATCAGAGTCAGATTTTAAAACATTTTTTTAAACAACATGATTGGACAGTCATGGATAGTTAAGCTAGACTAAGCTAAACTAAGATAAATACATTTTTATTAACCCCAGGTTGGGGAAATTCATGTGTTTGAACAGCTGAGAAGTCAAATGGAAAGAGCGCAGTAAAAAAATATTTTTATAATGCTAAAGTAGTTTTGTCTTATCATTATTAGTATCCATTATTATTTTTGACCAAGGATTTGTGTGGTTATTGCGCCCTCTGTCATAATGTACATAACATAGTGTTAATAATGTATATCACAAGATGTTTAAATTGCTGGTTATAGTATACAAACCATCTAATGCTTAAACATTATTTTTTTAGAATACAAAATACACTGTAGTGTATTATTCCTGCTTTAAAATATTCAACAAATACGTGTACAAAGATTATATTTATCTCACAGAAACAAAATCTAACCGTGTTCACTTACAAGACAACACGTTTTTAACTCAATTGTTTCAGTGTAACTACCTGCACAGGCTGATCTCATTAGAGAGGATAAGACTCCATCAGTCCACTCATTGGTGGACAGGTCATTCTCTCCATACAGTTCACCCAGACTCATTGCTTTGGGATTCAGAGGATAATCCTGTAGTGCCCCAAAAACCACAGCATGAGGACGGGGTGGAAAAGTGGAACGGTGACAACTGAGTAGCAGATAATGACTACACAAAGAGAACTGTGCTAAAGAATGCAAACAATAAAACAGACTAGATGAGGTTATATTATATTTAAAGACTACATTTTTACAAAAAAGTTTGAATTTGTTGGCGCAAGAAAATAATTTTTACAAAGGCTTATTTTTTACAGGTACATGTCACAATTCCTTCCAATTAATGACAAACAACTTAAAGGTAATGCACTCGTGTTTATGTGTGTCTTTGAGTGCATGGAGTACAGTGCAGTACTATTTGCATGAGCATGTGGGTGAGTGAAAACCAGGAAGAAGGAGGCAGAGCAGCCTTTGAGTGATGACAGGCACCAGAGACAAACAGAAAGACAGATAATAAGAACCAGGGCAGATGAGGCTGACATGTGGAAAGGCACCAAAAATACATATGCAAGGAGCAACGTGGAAAATAAGAGAGCAGGAAAGGGAGATGTAAAAATAGAGAGGAGTAAAACACTAGAAAAAATATCCAGCTAACGTCAGGGAGACGTGATCTGGTGAGGGGCGTGTTTGACAAACCTGAGCCCTGAATTATCATAGAAGTTTCACTCTTAATTTTGTTTAGCTCATAATCTTGCCATATAGTAAGTATGCATTTTTATATATAAATCGGTGTTATTTTCTACTAATAAAAAGGAGACACCAGCCAGTTAAGAACTCACCTGAACTGCTTGGAAACCAGGTGCCCCCATGTGGTGCAGGGCAGTGAGGGCACTCTGCAGCGTCCGCCATGTGACAGTCTTACCACTTCCTGTCTTGCCCACCAGCATGGAGGAGTGTCGGGAGTTCTTGGTCTCGTAGAGTTGAATGACTTTGGTAATGGTGAATGGAGTGACCTGCAGACCTTTCTGACGAAGCTCCGTCTCAATGGATTTCTTCAGCTGCAAGTAATAAGAAGATTTGCATTTGCCTTGACAATCAGGTAAAAAAAAAAAAAAAAATTCAGGATTTTCATGGTTGATGTTCATTGTACACTTTTTCGAGGATTATTAAATCAGATTTTCTGATTCAAAACTCAATAACTTAAAAAAAAAATAAACACAAATTTAAAACACAAGCGTACATCATAATTTTTTTTATTTTAAACCTGGAATAGAAACCGTTAAGTTTTTCAGCAGCTTTTCCTCTAGCTCCATCAGAGTTTTTTTTTCTTTATGCCAAAACTTAAAGAACTCGATTTTAGTCCTGTGACAAGGCAAAAAAGACACAGGGAGAATTCTTCGAAGAAGGAACTCTCAGATGGAAACAGCAGTTACAGAATTGCTTTCACTACACAATGAGTGAAAAAAAAAAAAGTTTGTTGTAAAACAGTTCAAGAAGTGCCAAATTTTGATATGCATGTGAGATAAAGATAATATCTCACATGTAAAACGATGAGCAACCTGTAGTACAATGTTGGCGAACCTTAACAATCTGACTCTAGTTTTAATGAGTGCAGAAATGTAGCCGAGCAATGACACCAAACATTAGCCAAACTTTTTAATTTGGGGCAAAAACTGGCCATAAAGTCGTTTTTTTTGTTTATGTACTCTGACTCTGAAAGATTCAACAATAAAGTTTCTGACTGAGGTTTACCCACCTGGTCATAATCAATACTGGGCACCTCCACCAAAGGAAACAAGTCCTGAGTGATGCCATTGAACAGTGGCAGGTCAGGAGAGGTCAACTTGGCAATGTTCATGTCCTTCATAGCCATCAACAGAATCTGTAGACACGGAGACAGGGAAAGATTGAAAGCACGAGTTAGTTTAGAGTTGTTTTTGAGAGATTTTTTCTGTGGGAGAAGTTCATTTGAAAGGGAAGGTGTGCTTGTAAAAATAGTTCAGTTAAAGAATCTAGCACACACAGTCACAGTCTGCCTCCTATTCCCATGAAAGTTCTTCTTTTCTGTCTTATGTTTCTAGACTGAGTTGCACTGGAGGGAAAGCAAGAGAAAGAAAAAAAAAACTTGATTTGACAGATTCAGGTTGAAGCTAATATTAGCATTAGACTGTATTAACAGTATTGATAGGGAAAAAGGCTACATTGCCAGTTCCAGGAGCGAGTGTGAATAATAGGAGTCTAATGTTTATTACCAGTAATATTATTTATTTATGAGTCAGAGCGATAAACAGAGAGAGGCAATAGGAAGTAGAAAGTAAAATAACCTACTTCTTCATCAGGGACATCAGGGCAAGCACGCCGCTTTTTCCCAGCATATCGAAGCAATGATGTGAGGGCACGGAGGCCGAAATCGTAGTGGTCCTGTTTGGATAGCTGCTGCATGGCCAGTGAGTACAGTGTGAACACCTTCTTCGCCAGGAGCTACGGAGGCAAAGGAGTAAAAGAAACTTAGCTTCTGCATCAGCTCCATCTATCTATCTACCTATCTACCTATCTAATCTATCTACCTATCTATCTATCCATCTACCCATCGATCCATCTATCCATCTATCTATCCATCTATCTATCTACCTATCTACCTATCTACCTATCTATCTATCCATCTATCTATCTATCTATCTATCTATCTAATCTATCTACCTATCTATCTATCTATCTATCCATCTATCTATCCAGCTATCTATCTATCTATCTATCTAATCTATCTACCTATCTATCTATCCATCTACCCATCTATCCATCTATCCATCTATCTATCTACCTATCTACCTATCTAATCTATCTACCTATCTATCTATCTATCTATCTATCCATCTATCCATCTATCTATCCAGCTATCTATCTATCTATCTATCTAACTACCTATCTATCTATCCATCTACCCATCTATCCATCTATCCATCTATCTATCTATCTATCTAACTACCTATCTATCTATCCATCTATCCATCTATCTATCTATCTATCTAACTACCTATCTATCTATCCATCTACCCATCGATCCATCTATCCATCTATCTATCTACCTATCTAATCTATCTCCCTATCTATCTATCTATCTATCTATCCATCTATCTATCCATCCATCCATCCATCCATCTGTCTGTCTATATAATTGTGATTAATTACCATCACAGTTAACAATGACAAATCAGGATGCACCGTGAGATTCAGTATATTTTCATTGTTTGCTCTACTTACACAACAATTACTGTATTGTCTACCTTGCAGTTGTTGAAGCCTTCGCCAAACAGTATGATTTCAGCAATTAACGTAGAGTCCGGCACCACCATGGAGATGGGTCTAAACATGGACTTGAGGTTTTCTGGGAGCTCAGTCCGACCTGCATAACCTGGAATATGATTCAAAAGATTAAAAACATATTTGAGTAAATAAGACTCGCAAAAGAAAAATAATTAGAATGTCAACTGCATATTTTGAATTCAGATTGGGCAAACCTGGGTTCATGGTGATGAAGATGCCACATGACCAGACCAAGTTAATGTGCTGTCCATCAAAATGGAACTTGGTCTGGGCAGCAGAGAGGGCAGACAGGATGGAAAGAATCTGCTGAGCGACCACCGACAACACCTCAATGTTTATACGGTTGAACTCGTCAAAGCATCCCCATGCTCCTGTCTGTTCCCAGTGGACAGAAGTGAAGAGTAGTTTAAACACACATACACAGTTCATCATTAACTCAACACTTTGAACATCTAATATTGTATTCTAGGAGAGGTAAATTCCACCTTTATCTTTGACCTCGTAATACTTTTCAGGTCAATTCAGTCACCAAGAGAGGGCAATGTACAGTACATGCTGGACAGTTGGCCAATCAATCATAGATACAGTAGGTAGACAGATAGTTATCATATTATTTACATATATATATTAACCCTTCACAGACCCCTTTGGAGGCATCGTAGGATCTGAAATATGGTCAAACAAATCTTGATTACTTGTATGTACAGATTATTTAATGCATGTATGTATTGCACATGTCTTACAAAATGTCTATTATTGTTTATTTTTTTATTTTTTTATTGTTTATTGTTATTTTTTTACTACTTATTTAATGTTTTTTTTTCTTCTTAGGCTATAAAATGCTTATTTTATCATGAAAATAAATTCAAAAACCGCAAAAAGACACGTCTATCCCATGCGGGGGCAAACTTTATGACTTGTGGGCTTTAATAAATCCTTAAATTGAACAGGGGGGGCCGTGTCAGGAGCAGATAGATGGAGCCCTGATGTGAACAAAGATAAATGACATAAAAGCTAAAATGCTTTTATCATTTTCTATGCCATCTATTGGGAAAACGTTGGTATTGCAGGGACAGGCAGAAGTATAATAATAATCTAAATAAATTATATAATTTTGGTGGGGCGGATTAAAAAGCTGAACGGGCAGCAACCGGCCCGGGCGGATTAAAAAGGTGAACGGGCAGCAACCGGCCCCTGGGCCTTAGTTTGCCCATGTCTGGTCTATCTAGTTCTTACCTGTGCCAGGCCAGAGTACATGCGTCCCATAGATTTGTAGTCCAGTCCTTCAGAGCAGTTGACTACAATGACATACATGCCCAGAGCTTTCCCCAAGTCCTTGACTGTCTCTGTCTTTCCAGTGCCAGCTGGGCCTTTAGGTGACCCTCCTCGGTGAAGATGAAGGGCTGTGGTCAGAGTCATGTAACACCTTGATGGAATCAAACAATCACATTTAAACATATTTGTTTGTTTTAAATTTAAACACATATTTGCTGGAGCTATACAATGTTAGACTCAGGCAAAAATAATAACAGTGATCTGTGACCTGTCAGTAAGAGGAGTGATGACGAGACGTCCCGAGTTGCCCAGGTATTCATAGCCATACTTGAACTGTGTGTTGGTCTGACGGATTATGCAGTCATTCATATCCTGTTGACCACAAAGTAGGAAAGAAGGCAATGTCGCAAAAAGACAAAAATGACCACAAACTGAACAGGTGAGTGAGGAATGAGGTAAAGTACTAATAATGGTAGTATTTTACTGTTTTTATTTTTTTAATATTTTTCAGCCTTTCTTTTTAATTACTTGTTCAGCATACCTTCTCCCAGTACAGTCGCAGCTGGCTGAGCCAGTCAAAGGCGTTGACGTCACTGCACCCGGCCTTGGCCAGCTTGTCTATGACATCACGGGCATGAACCTCCACGGTGACCAGCGCTACAATCTTCAGACGTAGCACTTTGGACAAATTCCCACGGATCATTTCTGAATATCCCTGAAGCATGGACACCTGAGGAACACAGACAGCTGCAACAAGGACTGTAGGAGAAGGTTTGGAGAATTCTTCGTCATTTAATACAAGCAAAAACAAAAAAAAAACCCAAACAAACAAACTGTGAAACCTGTTTCTTTTTTAAGGACTTAAGGGAGGATTTATCAGCCCTCTCCTTGCTGGTCATAAGAGCTTTGGTCACGTCAGAAGTCCATTGTATCTGACTGGCAGTAATCAGCATCTACAAAGCACACATTATTTTTAATGAAGCGCAATTGCTCTCACATAAAAACCTCACCCAAATGAGCAAAATGGAATAAAATTATATCTATAATTAAAAAAGTCTTTTACAGGTTCAACAGGAGATTGAAGGTTTGACATGATTAAAATTATGTTCCTTATTTGGTTGGAGTGCATTATTAAATTAGTAGTTGTACGTAATAAAGGACAAAAGGTAGTGCATGAAATGATTAATTTAATAATAATGGAAAAAAATTGTTAAAATAAAATTGCTCTGCTCTTAGAACACTCTCAGATTTAAATGACTTTTGGTAATAGAAGATTATTTTCTTGAAATAATTATTTTTATTTTAACTTTTACTGATAGGTAGTAAAAATGAAAAGAGTACTGATGTAGAGCACAATCCAAACTGCCAGCAGAACAGACTGAAGACTTGTACCTGTCCAGGCCAGTCTTTGACCCACTTGTCCCTCTGATCCGTCATCCTTTTTAGAGCAACGAGACAGTCATTCAGACAATCCTTCAGTGTGCCACGCATGATCTTCTCCACATCACAAAGCCAGATCTACACGTGTAAACACAGAAAACAAGATCAATAAATCACCCGCACTTGGCTTCACACTTACATCTGTATGTGATCATCACCATGGCCGTACCTCTACTGGTTTGTCTATTGGCACCAGCTGCATGAGCTCAACATACTCCCCATCAGCTGAGTACATACCAATGGCATCAGATTTGCTGCCGACCTATAAAAAAAAAACAGTATGAAAAGGTTATCAAGTATTACTGCAACAAGAACACAGTAGAATCCATAGTATAGTCTCAATTACTGGCATAAAAATTGGGTTTGTAACCAGAACATCATTAGTTCAAATCCTGGTCCCAGATTTAATTTTGCAAATGCCAGTGGTTCCTAAAGTAAGGGACGGGGCCCCAAATAACGGACAACAAGCTATTGAAAAAATTTATTTCATTTTTAATATTTTCTTCAATGGCAGTAAATTGTAAGTGTATCTTCTCCTTACAATGAGAATATTCTTTTTGTAGAAATGACCATTGCCTTATTGGAATAACAGAATATATAAAAAAGAATTTAAAGGCAAAAAACATGCTTTAAAAATAAAATTGAATCAGTTTTGTTGTTTTCATCAGTAGCACAAAAACAATACAGGAAACAGAATTCAATGCCTAAGAATGTTTTTTCTATGTTTTCAAATGCCTGGAAATGAGTGGAACATAAACCTTTTACTGTGCAGTGTTTTCTACCTTTTCAATGCGCAGGCTCTTGATGTTGTCAAAACACTTCTTCAGGTGTGGCTGCATGGCGCTTGGATTCTGTGACTGTCCCAGAATCTCCAGCACATCGTCGTTAGACAAGAAGTAGAATCTTGGGAAAATCTGCCGCTTGGTCTCCAGGTACATGTCCAAGGCCTTTTGGATCTCCTCCAACTTGGCACTCATCTCTGACAGCTTTTCTTGCAGGCCTGACAGATTTATAGCAACAAGACTTGGATAATGTTCAACACATGACTTTAAATCAGGCTGAACAATATGGATGACAAGGTGTCAACGTGATATATGAGCGGATTAACTTTTCATATAGTCTATACTGTTTCTTATAGCTATTTCATGGTTATTTATGGCAGACATCTTCTCTTGTCTTGACTGCAACATGCAGTTTTTTTTAGTTAATATTCCTGTTAAAATAAGTATAATTACATGAATATTCTATTGGTAATTTTTTTTGTTCTGCTTACTCTTAATAGCTTCTTTCATACAAGCATTAGGTTGACACAAATACATTACAGCCACGGCACATATATATCATCAGGAAAAACCCCATGGCACACCACTGAACAAAAATCTCACAAAAAGTATATATAGTTAAATATAATAATCTTCAAGTTTAAATTTACTAAAAAATGTACTCCTGTTTAGTTGAACACAACACTGATATACTGACAGTAATTGAAGAAAGACACAAAGATCTTCTTCAACAGCTTTGATAATCTTTTCTTAGTTTTAATAACCATCTGCTGCCACCTAGTGGATAAGGATTCCATTGCTCTTTGACAAACAAAGAAAAATTATTTGCAATAAATAAATATTAATTATGGGAAATTGGATAATTTTCCGCTGGACACCTAATGATCTCCTGCGGCACACTAGTTCGCCACGGCACAGTGGTAGGGAATCACTGCGTTACAGAATACACAAATCACATGGTAATATTCAAACAGAGCAGACTTATGTTTTCACCACAAGATGGCGTCTCACTGTTGGGAGCAGGCTCTTTGCTAGTGATAGAGAAACCTAATGGGCCTAATCTGCTGCTGTGTAAATGAATATGAGCTCCTGATCAAATGACCGAGCAGCTACAGATGTTTGCACCTGAACAGTCCATAAACACAACACAGAAGAAAACCTCCATGTCTCCATGACCATGCTGATCTTCGCTGTCATACCAGGATTGTGTGTTCCCCTTAAGGCATTGTTGTCCTGATGAAGTCCTTCCATGATGACTTTCCAACTGGAACTGACGTCCTCAAACTCTCTGCACTCCTGAGGCAGCTGCTCCCTGATGTCCTTCCCCTGGAAAATGTTCTAGGGAGATAAAAACAAAGAAATATTAAGAATTATAGACAACCAATTCACTTTAAGAGAGAAGTGTTGTAAAAAAAAAAAAAATTATGAATTGAATTGTCTACCTCAGCCAAAGGTAATCTAAACTAAGTGATGGGACTGTATGTTAATTGGTGTTAATAGTGTACAGCTAAAAGCGAAGGTCAAACAGTTCTAAGACAAATGAAAAAAAAAACATTTATAAAATAATCAAGCTTTTTCTTACTTATCTTCCATATAGGGTCTAAACATTTCAGAAAGCACTGTCTTTGTCAGAGACAGTCAAATGATCTTTCAGTCAATCAGATGTGTCAGGGTTTGCTTTACCTCCAGATAAATCCACTGACGCTGCACAGTAAGGATCATCTCAATGACTTCCAGCACCTGGGACAGTCGACATTCCCAGGAGTCCACTTCCTGTTCAAAGGCTTTAACAAACCGAGATGCCTTCATTGTGGAAAGTGTAGCCTGGTTGTCCTCCAAGGCCTGGAAAACCTCATCTGTCCCCCTGTGCAAGAGGGAGAAAAACAGTTAGATGTAACTGTTTGTGATTGCGCTTAATTGTATGTAATTGTCTGTATTTCAAAGGCCGAAGAAATAAGATTATGCAGTTAGAATGTATGACATTAACTGATCCTGTATTTAGTGTGATTTTCTGCAGCAGTAGTTGTTGATTGTGAATCAATATTAAAATTCACCTTAGTTGCATGGTACTGAGGATTAAACTGTTAATCAGTGATTTGGCTGTAGTATTGAGAATGACACAGATTGTCTATTTGTTGATGTAATTGATAATAGTAGCATTTGATGACAATCAAAATTAAATGGGTTACTCTTTTAAAGTCTGATTGGAAAGTGTCTAGATCCTGGAATATTTGACTTTCGGTGTTGTATTACATTGGGTTAGTGGCAGAAAAATGAATAAACTTAAATTTGCTAAAACAAAACTAACAGTGCAGACATTTAGCCACAATATTACAAAATATTTGCCCGTAATTAGCAACATATTAGCTTAAAGGAGCCACATTGTAATTAGCAACATGTTAGCTTAAAGGAGGATACATTTATGTTAAAAAAATGACACACATTCAGAAAGGATTCAAAATTGGGTATGCACAAACTTTTTGTATGTCTTATCTACAATGGCTAAGAGTTAGCCAAAAGCTAAAGATCCCTATTACTCCTCATACTGATCATTACTGTATATGACTCCTGTTGTAATGTCAAGGGTTAAAGTAGAGTAATATCTGAATTAGCCATATTTTTGTGATATGAAAAATGTTTCACCTAAAACAAGCTATAAATTATGTCCTTAGCATTCAAGCCACACTTTAACCACCATTAATGTTCATCCCTAACCTTCACTACTTCACTACTACTGAAGTACTTTCTCATATTTGTTGTATCTTTAGTGCATGCTCTTCATACCAGCGGCCTACTCATGCAGTACAAAGGTATTATGTTGCAAACATGTTGCAAACGTCCAGTCGACAAGCACTGAGTCTGACACCAATGAAATATGCTCTTTCATATTTCCTGCTGTGAAGATACAAAGACATTCCAATCATTTATGTACAAGCGACTAAATTAGAAACATTGCTGGAGGCAGTGATATGGAGCGCTAAGCTAAAAGATCTAACAATAGAGAGTGTAAGTAAGATGACAGGATATGGATGAATAGAAGTTCAGAAGAGACTGGTTAGGTCTGAACTGGATTCTTTCAGTCAAACTGTGTTCTTAGCTGCTCTCTGACCTCAGTCTGTAGTGGCCTTTGTTTCTGTAAGGCTCTATGTCCAGAGATGTTTCCTCCCAAGTCTTACCAATATTCTCCAAACCCTAAAACATTGAACAAATAGAGCTGCATTAGTAACAAACACAGCATTCAGATGTCAAATCCAAACATATGCAATAATTTTGGTGAAAGAATAAAATTTTAAAGATGTAGTACTAGAAGTTCTAGAAACAATGATTTAGCAACTTGGGACAATGTATCAATTCAATGATCCAGGCAAATACTGCTGTTTTGCTTTGCTGAGATATTGTCACTAATGTCCGAAGTTGTTATCATTTCATTGGCCGAGATCATCCTGTAAACACGCTACAACCTCTTCAATCATGTGTTGACATGGACAACAGACTGAACCTGTTCAATGGAGAGTTCCTTGCTGGCCGCTCCAGCCACCTCAAAAATCTTGTCAGTGTACTTTTCAAAGCCCAAATCGATTATCTTTCCCAGGGTGAACTCAGAGCTGGTGGGGTCAAAGGAGCAGTTGAGCTCTTCACAGATCTGCTTCCAGTGTCTGAAAGAAAGTTGGTAAAATTGTCGATAAATTGTTTTGTTTCTACTTTCTATTGAATTCTTTCTATTTGATACATTTTTCTATCAAAGTCAATTTTGGGTTGGTCAGTGCATCCAACACAAGATGGAAGTTACAGTTGTACGTCTTTGTCAGGTCTACTGGTAATACAGAGACACACTGAACTGTACCGACTGATTATTTTGTTTAATTATCAAGTAATAAAATAAAAAATCAGGTAGATTCAAAACTAAATATTTAGGCATCACAGCTGAATATCAACTGTTGGATTTTTCCAACAGACATTTAGAAATAAAGCTCAGGCTTCCATTTAGCCTGTCTAACGCAATTGTCTAATAACGAGCAACACATTCACTTACATTACATTACACTTTTGTAAGGATGTGTTCTGTCTGTCAGGGTGTAATTCTCAACGTGGCCACAAGCTGAACAAAAACCCACCCCTGGTCTACTAAGCAGCACTGTCTACATTGATATGACTAAGTACCTATCTCTCATGGCTGGGTTCCTCATCTCAGCAATAAGAGGGATGATGCGCTTGAACTGGTCAATCTTGTCCTTGGAGGAATCTATGACGTCCCATTCTTTATCCTGCAATCAGAAAGAACAACATGGCTGCCCTGCTGTCTAATGCAGATATGGTAACAGAGCGGTCACTGCCCGAGACCAGCTGGCTATAAAAATAGCCAAATCAACCGGGGCTGAACTGACCTTCAGCTCCCTCTTGAGTTGGTGGAGTTTTTTGAACATCTCCTGGGCAGTGCTTTCCATGTTCTTGGTCTGCAGCATGGCAAAATGACCAACCTTCCAAATGTCCCAGTAGGAATTCCATTCCTGTGCGATCTCCCAGACCTCCTGCAGGCTGTCTATGTCCTGTACCATACAATGAGGAACATAAACATTCATCAAAAGCTTAGTCATTAAAAACGTCTTTTATTAGGGCAGTATGAAAAACCATTCTGTCCAGACAGATCACAAGACACTGATGAATCTTTAGCTTTTGTATTAACCAGTAGGAATGCCTGTGCATTGTCAGACCTTCTCCAGTGTCCGGATGCTTTTGGAGGGAGGCTGTTCAATTTTGAAAAATCCCAGTCCATCAATCATAGTGATCTCTTCCTGTTTCAGAGCCTCCAGCTGGCTGTGCAGGAGGGATATTTCCTTCAAGCCTGATTCAGGGGTCAGTGAACCATCAAAAGGGCCTAGAATTTAAACATACACCAAGGCACATTAAAGTTGAGGGAGTTAACTAATTAAATCTCATGGTTTTACACATTAAAGTTGAGATAAGTTGAGTTAACTAATTAAATCTCATGGTTTTTGTAGGTGTGTGTGTGTCTGTAAGAGGCAGACCTGTCCTGTGGAACTCCACCACTGCAGCCTGAATCTTTTTTTTTAAATCCTCTGAGGAAACCACCAGGTTGCTCCTGAATTTCTCCTTGTGCTTCTGCAGGGTAATGTCACTGTCAATCAACACCTGCTGGAACCAAACCCATTCACCGTCTATGACCTCGTGCAAATCCTGCACCTGAGGGGAAAAAAAACAAATGGTATATTTATGAAAAAGTAAATAAAATACCTTACTTTTTCATCATTATACCAATGATAAAAAAGTCCTTTATTTATCAAAAAAATCCAAAAGCCTAAGAGAGAAATTGCCAATAATGTAGGTGAATAAAAGGTTAATATCTGTATATATAAGGTCTGCATAATTTCATGTGCATTTGTGTGTTTTTAATGATAGACATCCTTACTGCCTGTTCCACTGGGACCTCATATTTGTCCAGAATAGCAAACTGCTCATGAATGAGACGAATCTGAGCTTCTGTCTTGGCCAGATCTCTCTGCAGAGATTCCAAGAGCTTTAGGCTCTCACCGAGTTCAGCCAAAGTCTGAGGAAGTTGCTCCAGCCTAAACACATAGATTAAAATATCAATAGGAAGAGTGATGCACACTGTAGCACAACAGTGGGATGTGGAAAAGAAAGGAGCTAATATTATTTTTTATTTTCTTTGAGAGGCCGACACAGCAAAATAGGTCACAGCAATAATCGATTTGGCCTTTTAATATCTAAAAAAAGGTGTTAAGGGAAAACAGTGAATCCACACCTGTCGGCATTGGCTTTCATCGAGGCATGTAGTTCCTCGAGGCGGTTGCTGGCGATGTGGCTGAGTAGCTGTGTGAACTTAGTTTCCCATTCGTTGCAGTGCTGAACCAGTGAGGACTTTAGTGGTGAACAGTCCAGTGTCACGAACCCCATGTTGGACACTGTCTCTTCCTGTTGAACACTATTGGCCTTTTCTGTGTACCTGAGGGTGAAACACTGCTAAGTGTTAATAAATGCTTCTAATGTTTAAGCACGTTATGGCAAATGAACAGTGCACCTGTGTATGTCTGTGTCAAAGGAAGTGACTGGTGGGTTCAGTCGTTGATAGCGCTTTATAAAGGAGTCCTTGTTAATCTCCCAGATGTCCCTGTATTTGTCCCAGGTCTTCAGGTACGCCTGCAGGTTACTGGCATTCGCTGTCATCCCTGTTGCAACTGCAGCCTGGATTTTCTTAATCTCCTCGTCTTGCTCTGAAAAAGGTGCCAATAGAAAATTAACATCTGAGTAACTCTGTTATTTAGTTTTGATTAAAAGCAACTGTTAAACAGTTTGTTAAGCATAAATTAAAGAAAAAAGAAAAGCTGCAACAAAAACGTTCTGCTGAATTGAGCTGTTACCTATGTTTACATGTATGGGATTCCTCTGTGACTGCTTGCAGTTCAGAAGCTCAGGAAGTCGTTTGAATTCTGCCACGGTGGTAATGAGGCGAGGCAGAATGTTCACCATCACAGCAAGCGCTCCAAGTGTTGGTGAGAACTCAACCTGTGATTTCACCAAAACTGTTGTCAAAACTCTTTCTAATGAGCAAAAGTCATTATTAAAACACCCCAAAAAACCAGAGATGACTAGCTGGTACCTTTGGAACAGTTGTTTGGGGAGTGGCCTGCCGCAGTGATACCAAGACTTTGAACAAGGGGTTTGGTGACGTCTTGTTATCTCCATTGACGGCTCTGGACAGGCTCCTTATGGATTCTTTGACGTTAACTCTGAGGGCTTCTTCTACCATCTGATCCACCTTGTCTATGTAGGTGGCCCAGTGCTGCTGCACCTTGACACCAAGGAGGAAATACCACAGAGTGTAAAGAAATAAAATGAAGCAGTTGTAGAACTGCAGATGCAGGAGTAAAGTGAATCACATTTTGGGAAAGGTTATAAACACAATGCACATACCACTGGTCCATCAGTAGAAAAGATGTTGTAGACACTGGTCATGATGCTAATAATACTTTGGTGAGCTGAGAGGAGTATTTGAAGTTGGCTCTGCTGTTGAGCCTTCACGTCATCATCAAACTGCTGGTTCCTAAAAAACAAACACCAATGACATAAAACAGAAGCCAATGAGACTCAGTGAAGTCTGCAGGCCGTTAAAGTTGTTTCAGAAAAACACAAATGCTAGCTGACATTTATGGATCAAATAACTGCTCAGTTTAATCCAACTGCATGTTTGTTTTAATCTAAATTGGGTTATAGTTACATGTAGTAAATAAGGTAAACAAATGAAGAATAGAATGAACATTATTTAATGATTTGTTTCTTTCAAAAAAAAGAATCTGGTCATCATTTTACCTGTACACAGTCTTTCCATCCAGTCTCACCAATAAAGTTTCACTGATTTGCTGACACAGTTTGGAGATGGAAAGATTAGATGCTTTGAAATCATCAACAATTAGTTGGACCTAGAGAATACAGAAGAACAGAAAAGAGCTTGTTAAGTTGAGTGAGGATGCTCAGAATATCTGAAGGACTACTTCAGATGATCCCAGAAATACTGTAGTAGAGAAAAGCTCTCTTTCACATTATTATAAGTAAAACTAGTTTATGAAAAAAAAATAAATGAATGCACCAACATCTATCTCCTTTTTGTAATTAAGTTTGTGTTCGAACCTTGTCAACATGCAGGAGACAGTCGCGGACAAAGAGGTTTGACGGTCCCTTAGACGACCACAGAACCTTGGTCAGTCCAGGCTGAACCTTCTTATCCAGCAAACGTAATCGCTCCCGAAACAACCCCAGCTCATCAGGCGACAACATTCCAATGATTCTGTATCACAGGCACACACACAGAGAACACCGCTTACAACATTTACATGACTGTAGAAGTGTACTTCTGTTTTTTATTGCTTTGTCTCAGCATCATGGAAAATAAAAGAAAGTAGCCTGGGCTTTTCTATGATATACAGAAGACTTTAGGCTTTGTATTGTATTGTCTTTCTACTGCTTTCAGAGTTAGATATGCGGAAACAGTAGCGTATGAAGATTAAAAAAAAAAAAAAAAAAAAGAGACAAGCTCATAGCAGAAGGGAAGAAGAAACATTGAGCCAAACACCCATAAGGAAGGCAGAATGATTTTGATTGTCCAAATGTTTGCAAAACAGAATTTTCTGAGGATTGTACAAAACTACAAAACCTATATTGAAAGCTTTTCTTCAGGACTTTTTCTCCAGCCTACTTGTATGTGTGTGTGTGTGTGTTTGTGTGCATGTCGTACCTGTTATAGCTCCTGACCAGTAGCAGGGCCTTCTCCCGGAGGGCTCTGAACTCTTCCCTGTCCTGGTAAAGGTCAGACACACTCTGCGGGATCTCAAACTGGAGACGGTCCCAGTAGTGGATCTCGGCAAACAGGTTTGAGAGATTGCTAAAACAAAAACATTATATAGGCTTAGATGCTTATTCTATAAGATGAAAAACTACATAATTATTTGAGTTTCTTGTTATGAATGTGTGTAACCCACCTGTCAAAGTTCACGTCCAGCTTGGCAGGGCTGTCTCTGTTGCGGACCAACAGTGGCTGCTCCAGTGCCTTGAGGTACTGTCCATCCAGCTTGTGGTTCCACTCACTGAAGTACTTTCTCAGCCTCTCATCCAGAACATGGACTGTTTGTTTATAGCCGATGATGACCTGTTTGTGACTGTAGGACTCAGGCAAAAAGTGGGCCTTCTGCAGCACCTGTAGCACCAAAGAAGAGGATATTGTATGAAAGTCCAGATATAAAGTTCTGTCTATTCTAAATACTGTATAATATATTGAGGGACTCACCTCCATCTGTCTCTCAATGCGATGTCTGAGGGCCATCACCCAGTGGGCCTGTCCTGCTAATAGGGGCAAATCATCTGGGAAACATTTGGTCTGTTGGTTCAGCTCATTGTTCACTAATTTGAGTTCCGTGTTGAAAATGGTGTAGATTTCTTCAGCCTTTTCCTCTGTGGTACTTTTAAAGACCCGCGACTGAGAAGACTGCACGGAGGACAAGTCAAGGACAAATTCACAAATAAAGCAATACTGAGGTGTTCAAAGCATGTTTGTGTGTATGAGAGACCTCCTGAGTGGACATTGGTCTAAAAACGTCCAGAAGTCGAACTCCTTCCTCCACAGTCTTTACCATTTTGAAGACTGAATTGATCAGGTTCTGCATCCTCATCTCCAGTTCTTTTATCAGAGCATTAAACCTGCAGTACACACAAGAAATCATACTGAGATTAGGTTAGATGTTTTGAAAATTTCATCTAGTTTTGAAAAGGAGGGTTCAAAGTAAACAAACCCATTGATGGTTACAGAACAGATGACCTAGACTACCTGATAAATTCACTGCACCACGCCGTGTCCTGGACATCAAGAATGCCTGCATCAACAGTGTGCAGTTTCTGAAGGCCGCAGCCAAAATTGTCCTCAATCTCCAGCAGGGACCTGATGAATTCTGGTTCCTGACAACCACCGAAACACGGCAGAGGCCTCTGTTTACCATCCTCCCAGCGAGCAAACTGACGTTGGCTGTCACAAACCTAACAAACGGGGGAGTAAGAAAGTCTGTTGAAGAACAACTGCAATGGAAATGAAAGATATGAGAAATGTGGGAACAAAGACCGAAGGACACTGAAATTAAGCTGCTGGTTGGTGGTACAGCCACTGCCCCAATGTACTGTCGTTTGGAAAGTGGAGTCAGTAAAAGAAATGTCCTGCACGACTCCGCCAACTGACAAGGTGCATCCCGGATAAAACAGTGTATCATACAATTTATGCAACAGTGCTGTCAAAGATAGATAACTGACAGAATGAGGAACCTGTGAAGGTCTCATGAATTGATTAGCATCCAAAACAAAAACTACAAACTCGGTCAATTTTAAGGATATAATGTCAATTATTTGACAAAAATAAAAATATTAGAGTATAGTAGTTTAGTATTTAAATACCTAAGCATGTATTATAAATTATTTTGAGATTTTCAATACCTAATTTTTTATTGTGTCCTTTTCCTTTACTCTTCAGTCTATTCAACCCACAATTTAGTATCACTTTAGTAATACTGTGATTGTGAGTGAGTGTGTTGTCCTGCTGCTGGTATTTTACACGTAGGGAGGACACAGTAAAATGTGATCCAAACGGCCAAGATAGGGAGGACATAACAGTAAAATGTGATCCAAACGGCCAAGAAATTATTTAATCTACCTCCATCAGTTCTCTGAACCTCTGAATGAAAGCATCAATCATGACAAAGAAGCTGGTGTGATCCAGGTCCCAGCTTTTTACAGAAAACCTCAAAAGAGAAGCAGAGAGAGAGAGAGAGAGCATATTAAAAAAAAAACATTAATGCCACAGGTGGTGTCTATAAAAACATGAGAATGTGGAGGGCTGAGATTTCACCCACTTGTTGTGAATCTGTGAAGTATGCAAATAAATGTCCTTCCACGACTGACAGCACTGGATGCAGTCACTGAGGTTTTGTTTGCTGGATATCACATAGCCTTCAAAGATCCTGTCCACAGAGATGCTTTGGCAACACAGACGTATGATCTCATTACTCATCTACCACACAGCAGAAAACAAACACTTGTTAGAATGTGTCTGGAAAACAAGTTGTGGGGACAATAACATTGGAGACATTGACATTGGAGACACTGATATTAAAGACACTAACATTAGAGACACTGACATTGTGTAACACAAAGGTAGCCAATAATGAACACCACTTGTGGAAGGGACATAAACGTTCAAATGATCGTTTGATACTATTATATAGACAGGGACATGAGCGGAAGTGTTTTCATTTGAGAGGTGAGAACACTTTAATCACTTGAACACGGTACAAACCTTGCTGAAGAGGCCAGTAATCTTCTCACTGGTGTTGTAGAAGCCAGAGTTGGTCCAAATGATGCGAATGAGGTTGATGATGTGCTGCATCTTCGGAGCCACTTCACTGGGTTGGAGCTTGTTCAGCTCCTCACATGGCTCCCTCAGTATGGACAGGAAGGATAGATTTGACTGGGCCTGAACTGAGCAGTCCTGGGAATTAAGGATAGAAGCATTTTGGTTGAACTGAGGTATTATTAAATCAATGTATATAAATGAGCACTGCTTGTTATTCTGCTTGAAGGGTAGAAATTGAAATGATGATGTGTCGACAAACTCCAGTGATGGTGTGATCAGGAGTTACAAATGAATATCTGCCATCACTAATTAATTGTTTGATTATCTTCCTGCTAAATGGATTTGTCATTTCATTTCACAAATAATTCATTTGAATATTCCAAAATTCACAACAATGCTTTCGAATTCACCTCCGTATACTGCAATCTGCTTGCATCACTACATATCAGAAGCTTCTAGTACCTGTATCTCCTTTGACAGTTTGCAGAAGCGCTGCACATACAGGGATTTGCAGAGCTCCAAGATACTCTGGATGTGTCTGACCCCTGGCTTCTGCAGCTGCTGCGTGATGTCCCGCAGCTTAACACAGCGACTTTTCCAGAATTCTATCTCCTGCAGAGGACCACAGCTGTCCCACACCTTCATTATCTCCTGACCATGCAGAACGTCCTTGATCTGGTCCGTCCAGTAGATGACAACAGCTGAGACAGACAAAAGAAGGGATTGTGAGAGAAGATCCAGGACGTAGGGACGGATGGAAGAAAGGACACTTGGTAAAGGCTTACACTCCATTCTCTGAACCAGCTCTTTGTCCTGGCTTGCCTCTTCAGGGCTGCACTGTAGACCCTCCAGTGGGATGTAAAGCACTGTTTTCCCAACCTTTCTATACACATCATCTGTTTTGAAAAAAAAAAAAAAATCAGTGACATCTAAGAATACTTCATTACATATATTGGTTGATGAATTTTTTGTGTGTGTGTTTTTATTTATTTTCCAAACCAACATAATGTAACTCTTTCCTTCAGAGTTGAGCCCACCTGTCAGGCTGGCGAGGTAGCTGTGCATGTTGTTGCTGTAGTTGTGCTTGATGCTCCTCTCTCTGTAATTGCTCAAGGCAACAGGGGGTGCGTGCAAACAGGTCATGTCATGCAGCAGTCTCTGGGTGGGGTCGCCTCGCACCGTGCCAAACTGTACGGCCACATCAAACATCTCTGCTGTGATTATGGCTCCTGGGATGCGGCTAAAATAGGACAGCTGCTCCACCACCTGTCCCTGCAAAAATACATTTTTTATGAAGGCAGGGACAAAAAAAAAAGAGAGAAAGAATACGACAAAAAATGTGAAGTAATAAGAAGGACAGAAAAGCACCTTAGCGCACAAAACATCTCCTATGTAATATTTATGTGAAATGTTGTTGTAAGATGTTTTATAACTTTACACTTCACAAACATCACATAGAAAATGATGTAAAAATAAAGAGAGTGTCATACTGGTAAAGGCATAGAGTACTCCACATGGAGCTTTCCACAGGTGTCCTTGTAGATGACCACAGTTGTGATGGACGTGTCCAAGATAAATTGGTCCAAATCTCTCTCATTCTCCTTTGTCCACAATTCCTCTGTTACACCAGAAATTGCCACACAACGAACAAAGGACTTTCAGAGGACGATGGGAAGAAAAAGAGAGAGAGAGAAAAAGATTTTCGGTGAATTGTCTGCATATACCACACAATAAAACAATAAAATGTAGACCAGTGATTACGGCTAACCAGGCGAGTAGTCCTCAAGTAGTCTTCGTCCACTTCTTCCATAATTCCTTAGAGCTTCTTTGTCTGAGAAAGGACAAACAAAAAATACACCAAAGTTAGAAAATGTGAAAGAACAATGGTCTGAACTGTGAAAGTTTGATGTGCATCTTACCTGATAATAAAGTGAATTTGTCATTAGCTCATATTAATTTTAAAACGTCACTTGGTGAAAGCTACTATTTTATCAAAAGTCCCTGTGTTCAAATACTTTATTTTGAAATTCACTTAAAGTTGCTCCATCAGTTCTGAAACCAAGTTGTTGACATGTAGCCAGATGTATTTTTCACAGATGGTGTGATTTCTTTTTTTCCATAATACATGCTGCTGTGCTGTCAGAGCCCACACTGCAACAAATCTGATGTCAAAGCTTTATTTCTGCTGCCTGGATACAGTTTGAAGCTTTTGCTCTATTATTTTTTAGCTCAAATTCAAAATAATAAAGTTAATATTGTGGGTGTTAAATTGTCAATTATCTGTTGTATTGAATTTTTCTTTAAAACAAGACAGTCGGACTTGCACGGCTTATAATAAACATATCTTACCTGGTTTTGCTAATTTTCATTGCATGGCTTTGTGGAAGTACAATATTCAATTACTTTAAATACTCAAAAGTACTCAATATTATTATTATAATATTATTAAACACAAATAATAGTAGTCACTTTAAATACTCAAAAGTACTCAAAATATTATTAAACACAAATAATAGTAGTTTATCTAAAGGAAATCTACAAATGTCTACACAAAAAGCAGGCAGGGAGGGGGTCTGTTAACGGTTTGAGATGTATTAACGTTTTGATTTCGTTTTCATTCCAGGAAATTCAAGCGCCCCTAAAGCGCAGGTGCGTTCACTTTAAACTACCCACCTTCGTGATTAACACGTTGACGTCACCAAACTAACTTACGTATGAAAACATGTTTTCATGCTGCACACTTCACGCCGTTTTACACTCACCTCTTATGCACTGTTTTCTTCCATGAAGTCAAAGCTCTGTTGAGCGTTGCGCGTCACCATGGAAACATTGGGTTGCGCGGAGTAACGCGAGGAGAAAGTCACGTGGTTGGGGTTGCTCTGGCACCGACAGTGTGAACTCACTGTGAAAGAAAACGAGTATTTACGCTGTTAACTAAATATTTGCCGAAAATAAATTTAAATTTGTACATTTTAAATAATTAAATTTTAGCAAGAAAAGGAAAACAAAACAAATATCTCGTGGCTTTAGAAATGTAAAAAATAACTTTTAAATACATTATTCAGAGTTAATTATTTTGTGGTATGCAATTTGTTTTTCCGCGGTTGTACATGCACTTTATCTGACGTAACTTACATCCAGTGACTGAGAAAAGTAAGCCCTGTTGTGCTACTATGCACTCATGCTGTTTGGCGCCTTCTAGAGAAGACACAGTTTACACAAGGCTCATGAAAATGTACCACTTTGTGACCTACATTCTCCCACTCAATTAAAATCTCCCATATTTTGTTTTGTTGTTGTTGTTGTTGTTTTTTACTTACATGGCCTTTCGTCTGGACTTTACCACAAAGTTAGAGACCTGGGTCACCACCCAGTGGCACAAACACTTCAGTGCAGCACAGGAATGCAGGAAAAGCATGTGCACTGTCAAACTTTACAACAATTAAAAGACACACAATTGTCCTAACACCTATGCGTTATGTTGCTATGAAAAGGATGTACGTTTCCAGTCCAATCTCAACAAATCAATGCTAATAAAGAGCATGTCAACATAGAGGACAGAGGGGACGAGGCGATACGTGCCTTGATGAGTGAAGAAAACCAAAAGCAAGGGAAAAACAGATAATGCAAGGGCAACAGACGGCAGCGGCGCATTTTGTTTACCAGCCGTGTTAAAAACAAGATCCTGTCCCAGACTGAGGAGGTGGGAAAAGTCACTGATCTCACATCTCTGTGGAACGGTGTTGTTTTTCTAAACAGTTGAGGAGTACGTCTCTCCGTCCCTTCTGTTAAACAAGCATCTAATAAAACATAGCCCTTTGGCAGACACCGTAAAACAGCAGCTGGAGCTGTGTTAACTGTGTTTTAGCACTGAGGAAGAATTGTAAGCTGGACCAGAACCAACAGTCCATAAAAACAGCATTTCTTGTCCTGTTGAAAGGCTGAGTCTTACGTCTGACCCTCTGGGAGAGCATTCTCTACACAGTCTCTCTGTTTACCGTGCCCTCAGAGGTCAACAGCAACATCTACTGTAAACTGAGACCATTTTAAAGGTATAGTTGTAGCTGGAGTAGGACATTATTTTAGGAACTGCAGTGCTGAACAAGTGGACACCAGCTTTCTTGGGTTTATGACAAAAGTAGGTTATTAACTGAGAGACCTGGCACAAGGACATGCTGCTCCAACTGGTTGGTTCATTAAATCAGTGATTCCCAACCACTGTGCTGTGGCACACTGGTGTGCCGTGACAGATCATTAGGTGTGCCATGGAAAATTATCCAATTAAACTTAATTGGTCCCAAAACTATTATTTATTCATTGCAAATGTCTTTCTTCAATTCATCAATGCGTGACAAGACCTTTGTGAGTGTCTTTCTTCAATTCCTGTCAGTATATCAGCATTTTCTTTAACTAAACAGGAGTACAGTTTTAGTAAATTTAAACCAGAATATTCTTATATTTCATTACATATACTTTTTGTATGGTGTTGTGCCGTGTGTTTTTTCCTGGTGACATATATGTGCCGTGGCTGAAAAGAAGTTGGGAAACACTGCTTTAAACCACAATCACAAGGGGACTCTCCAGGAAAGCTCTTAATCAATATGCTGACAAAATTATACAAATTATAACAATATTTTTCACATTATATTCAATAAATGTTTCTTTTTTCATTCAAACTGAATTTTGTTTTCTGTCTTTCCTTTGTCCATGCTAAGATATTTTAGCTGCAGCTCACGCTGGTCCATTTGAATGCATGAATGTAGCATCGGGCTTTGAGCCCTCCCCAGGCCCCCCTTCAGTTTCCCCTCCATGTAGCACAGGACTACAGATCCATGGTGTATATGAACGCCCACAACATGCTGAGGGCTGGGTCTGATAAAGAATCTTCTAAACCCTGAGGAAGTCTGTGTGCGGGTTTTCAGGGGGACAATCCACAACTTATGTCTGAACACAACCTTGAACCAAGACACCCCCCCTCTCCCATTACTCTCTTACCCTAACGTTCTTTCTACCACCTCACTTTCTTCAGGCTCCTTCTCTTGTTTTTTTTTTCTCCTTCTACACTCTCAGTTTGACTCAGTCCTTTCTGGTGGGGAAGTCCAGGCCGTCTCCCCCACAAAGCTGACCGGCTCCAAACGTCTCGTCTGTGAAGCTTCATTAGAATTCATTTGTTTGAACATTTTACCTCCAGTTGCTCCCTCCTTCCCTCTGTCTTCTCCTATAGCTTGGGGAAATTCATATTAGCATAAAAAATATCCTTTAAATCACCTTGATGACATGCTCTGTTTGTATGCAGGGAGTTTTTCTTTATAGCTACGAAGGACATATATGCAGTAACTTTTACCAAATAAAGAAACAAAGACTTACATGCAATTTCATGTTACAAAATCATTTCTGATGAACAAAATCGGCTATAACTAAAAAACAAAACAAAAATGATGTGGACTGAGAGGACTTTCTGTTTGTTGAACAGCTTCAGTGTCCAGTGGTGAAGCCCATACAACCATAAGAAATGGACAGAGAAGAAGAAACAGGCAGGACAAAATTAAATTGTGAGTCTCTGAGCTCAGGAATAATGTCTGGCTGCCATGCCAATCAGGAGAACAGCATTCGGTTGGAAGGATGGAGGGTGAAACAATAATGGGCTGTTGTTGCTGCCTGTACAAGATTAGGCCCGAGATATACGACGTTGCTTAGCACAATGAAAAAACACGCAGGGATGGATGCGAGCCACGGAGGGAAATACATTTTATAAGCGACACAGAGAAAGGACCCAGTTTACAAGTGGTCAGTAAAAAAGGAGGCACTCAACTGGAGGCTGCAGCTGTAACGGACGTGCAACATTACAACCAGAAAGCTCTCTGAGAGCAGAACACACCGTTGTTAAAAACTGCTTGACCCCCTTAATGATTTGTCCTCTCCACCGAGATACAGACAACAGTGTGAATAGATTTGTGTACTCCTGTGCTCGGACAAAAAGAAACATCGACCCACAATCGGACAAAGCACGGAACCCACATGGTGAAACAATGGAATGAGCATGAATGCAACGATGCAATCTTTTGTAAAATAAAAATATATAATAAAAATAAAACAAATGTGAAGCCGACTGTGGAGGACTTCTTTTTTATCATTTAAACTGAAAAAAACTTTATATAATATTCAAAGCCAGATAAATCATAACACATTTTGTTCAATACGTTTTACAATTTGTTAGTGTAACTTTTGATCATGTTGTCAATATACAACCATTTTTTTGCAAGTTAGTATAAATATTTTACAATTATGTTTCTTATTAATGTTCTGTTCTAATGCGTTGTTTTTTCAACCTTACGGTCGTAACCCATGGTGAAGTTGCTTGGAAATCAAATGCGGTCTCTTGAAATGTCTTATAATTAAAAAAGTACAACAATACAACTAATGATTGTTCTTTTTACATCTTGATTAACTACGATCATGTGACTGGGGTGCCGAGAAATTTGTGATGTCAAAATGAGGTCCCATACCAGTGAAAAAGTTGGAAACCACTGATTTATCAATTGAGGGACCAATTTGACAGACTCATCTGCTCCTTTTGAAAACAAACATGTGCTGCAGCTTTAGTCATCCGACATGTTTTGTTCAAAGTCTGCTCGACAGTCTAGCAAAAACAACACAAAACGTGCCCTTATTCACAGATAACAATGTGGACAGACTCACACGTTAACAGGATAAACAGGATATGGCCTGACTACCTCCTGCTGGACGCACAACAAGCACACAACATTAACACAAAGACTCACACACACACATACACAATGGTAGCCAGAATCTTTTCTAAACCCTTGACCTGAGCTGACAGCAGCCTGTGTTCTCTCACTGTTGTAAAGGGAGCTCCAGTAATAATGAAGGCAGAATAGAGCCTTTGGACAGAATTACAGTTGGAACTCTGCCAGAGCCCCATCATTATGTGTGTGTGTGTGTGTGCGCGTCCATATGTATGCGTGTAAAGAGACCTCAAACTGAAATCACACAGTACAAACTGCATTACCAACCACGGCCAAATAATCCTACTGCCTTTCCATATACGTATTTCAATTACAAAAACTCAAAGAAACTCTGTATATATTGAGATCCTAATTTAAAAGGAACACTAACACAAAATACCTTATGCTCCTCAACTTTGAATTATTCTTCTGATCACATAAATAGAGCAACAAACTGATGAAAAAAAAAAAAGAGGAAACGCGGAGCCTGTTTAACAGCTGATGGAGTGACAGGAAGGAGCAAAAGATGAGAGCTGATCGATGCGCCGTATTTGTGTTGCTGCTCCTTTTTAGAACAGCTATTCCTGACTCAGCGTACTCCTTCTGTCTGGTTTGATTCAGGTCTAGTCATTCTTCACACAGCCCTTGTCTCAGTGTTATTGATCCAAGCAGCCCTTCTGTATTTTAGTCCGTCTCCTCACTTTATGAAGTGAGACAAAAGGCAGGCGTCGAGTAAAGAAGTGCATTAGAGTAAGGAGTGAGAGCTTAAGCTCAGACACTGTGATTCAGGGAAAGAATGGATGGTAATAGACTCTAGAGCACCCACGGTTGGCCAGTGAAAGTAAGCTGACATGATCTGAAATTTGGGACTAATATGGTTAAAAATAATAGCATTAAATCCTTTAAAACCTATGTATGGTCAGCTCTAATTACTGCCCACATTTAATAACATAGTTGAAAGACGATGAAAAAGTACGAGCAATTTATGTGTATGACCTTTTCGGCGGACCTTTCAGATGGACTGAGAAGGTTGGCAGCTGCACTCATCCTCCTCCAGCTCAATCCTGAACAAATGAAGACACAAACAGTTAGCGGTATTCACTCACTTAGCCTGCACAGGGCTTAAAATTCACTTAACACTCTAACTTTATCTGGCCTTCCTGGAATCGCACACTGTTCATTCGTTCTTATGGTAGGAAAAAAAAATAGAGCAACAGCGCACACATTAATTTGGTCTGATTCTCTCAGAGACTGTTGACAGTTCATGTATGTGATTCATTCAACCTACATTTATAACGATGATTATATTTATTATTTTAGTCATCCTTCCAGTATTACAACACACTACTGTACTGTACTCAGCAAGACACAGAGCCTACAGTACCATTTACCTGAAGGTGAGCATATTTATTTTTCTTTTAAAACACAAACTGGGTAAATTCTGCAACTCTACTGTGTCAAAAAAAAAAAAAAAAAAAAAAAAAATTTTTGAGTAAGCACTAGTCTACATATTGGAGTATTCTCAGACATATAACCCAGACAACATTTTATCTTGTGTCCCTCTACAGAACTGAACTGTTGTCTTCTTACTCCTCCACCAGCTTAAATCTTTTGAGAGGGTTTGGTTAGAAATGATGTTAGTGGATGCGGGTGCCTGAGTGAATTTGTGTCGGGAATTAAATTGAAAAAAAAGAAGAAGAAAGAACTTAGTGTTCCTGTCAGTGTTCATCAGATTGCTACTGTGTTTGTATTTTTCTGACTAATCTGATCTGAGTGTCCACGTGGTGGTGCTAGCACTCCGCAACCTTCATCAGCGATTTTCAGCAGGGAGCTGAAGTGGCCTCTGTCATTTATGTGCAGCCGCAGTGCGCTTTTCCAGACAACAGTGAGTGTTTGTGTCACAAGAAGGTTTACATTTAGACTGAAATACATGTATGTTTTACATTATTGGGGGAATTTATTTGACTATTTATTTATCTCAGTATGAAGGGAATGACTAGTTGTACTGGCTCTATAATTGAATATATAATGTCTCTGCTTTAAAAATACATGTGTGGCTGTCTCAGTGTCTGCTCTCTCACTTGCAAAAAAAGCCTCGGCGAAGCAGGCATTGATGTATGTGATTAGGAAACGTCCCTCCGAGCCACCGTTGGCCCCCGCAGTCGACAGCCCCTACAATGAGGTGCAGGAGTGCATCCCATGAATCCTCTTCAAGCTTTAGCGAGCACAGACTCAGCAGAATCCTGCTCACCTGGGGGAGGAGGAAGAAGATGATTTTTAACAGACTACCTTTGAAGTGCAAGTCAACACTCAGAGGGCGAGTGGAATGGTTCCTGTGAAGAGGGGACAATAAAAAAAAAGAGCAAATGGAGAGGTGGACATTTCAACAAAGACTATAAGTACTGTTCAGTCTCGGGCACTTGTTAGATTGTCATTAGCCACTGGTCTAATTGGCCTTTAGTCCGACACGCTGGGTAATGGCCTCCGTCCTCCTCTAATGCCTATCTTTGCTCTGGAACTGATCACTGACAAGGATACATTACACGTGCCTTTGTTTTCGCCCACTGACTGCCACAGGGATCACACCTGGACGAGGGTCTCTACAGTATCGTTCAGTCTGCCTTAACTGTCACAGCTCTGTGTTAAAACTGCAATATCACAGGCCCTGACTTTAAGGTCAGAGTCGTTAGAGCAGCAGACAGTAGTTCATCACATCTGTAGCAGAGTCCAGTAGGATGCTGTGAGAAGAGGCTGTGTGAAAAGGTCATGTTCACCCATGATGGATTTAACAACTTGAGGACAATAGGGGGCAGTGTGACCATTAGAAGTGAACTATGTTGCTGGGTTTTATTGTTGTCAGCCTTAAATGTATTTTTTTAAGTTTCAGATGTTTTTCTCTCTCCTTATGATTTGACTGTGTGTTAGCACATGTTGTGGTTTATCTTAATTAGGTTCTGGCTTTGACTTCATCTATGCTTAATGAGGTAGAAACATGGAGAAGCCATGCTGGCTCTGTAGGATTCTCCACTCATAAAAACCAATGTAATTCATGTAAAATAAAATATAGTGGTGAATGACACCCGGGTAATTTGTTTGTACTTTTGCATATGTGCTGCTTGTACACAAAACGCTGTAATCAGTGGATCTAAGGAACGTGACAAAGACATGGAGGGCTGAAAATGAATCACAGGAAAGAGAATAAATATCAACTTTTCCAAACAAACAGAATGTTTGATGTACAACAGTGGCATTTCCCTAGTTACAGAGAGGTGTGTCTGAGAGGCAGCAAACCATAAAAACTCAGAGTGTGGCCTCTGTGGGCATAAGAACCGTCTGCAAATCATCCTGATGAGCATGAAGGAGCTGGTGGTGAACAGTGGGTCGATACAGGATGCAAACATTTTTATCTGAGCACGACGAATCAATCAAATATTCATCTAGTATTACCTGCTACTTTGTCAACACCAAATGACACTTGAGCAACAGAAACACTTGTAAAAATAACAAGTCAAACAAATAGCTTTGCACCACTGGTGGCTATATTGGCATAAAGGTTAACTAACTACACAATATCATAACAACTGCTTAGAAAATACATATAAACACAAATACATACTAAGGTTGTCAAACGGTCGCCGCTGTACAAGAAAGAGGCGTGATGGAAGAGGCAAAGCGTTGGCATGATGTGTGAAAAAATACATCGTAAGAAGAGCAGAAAAACACTGAACGTGTTACTGTTTTCCTTTCTGTCTGCATCCCATTTGCACTTTTCGTAGCTGGATCTGGAAGGAATTTGAAAGCAACATTGTACGAGCCACCATCGAGATGCACAGTTATGACTGAAATCCACCGACTCAACTCAAATGAAATGAGTTTGAGTTAGACTTTTGCATATTGTTCTTGACATCCTGACTCTATCATTTGGATTAGTCAAATAAAAGCAGGTGTGCAACACCCATATCTGTCTGCTGTTGTTTGTTTTTCTGTTCCAGCAATGCAGGAACAAATGTCACATCTAGGAGCGCTGATTTACCTCGATTAATCGTGATTAATCCACACAGCTACCCTGTAATAAATCTGATTAAGCCTGCTCAGACTCTGTGCAAATATTTAGAAAATCCTCCCACATAAGAATAATAAAAAGTTCAAGGTACAAAAAAAATACCAAACAGTACAATATAATGTAAGATAATATAAAAGACTCACTGGTTTAATTCCAACCTTTCCTATTAATAACCAAAATGTTCTCTTTTGTTATTTGTTCATTATTCTTATTTTGAACAAAAGGATGAGCGCTGTAAATTATCACAATATCTTTAATTTCATTTTACATGAAGAGCTCGAAGCCACAACCCCCTCCACAAGGTGGCGGTCAAGACAACCACTTTTATCTCTGCTATTAAATTGTCACCTGTGGTTCTGTGGCTGGGCCCGCAGTCCCATGTGTTTCAGTTACGGTGTGTTACGCTTAACAAACAACTGAACAATAATATGTACTGGTCAGTTAAAATCACTGACCCGTCAGTTGTCTGTCACTTGGGTGAAGAAGTGGTTTGGTCTCCCCTGTGACTGAACAGTTTACACAGAGGTCGGCCGTGGCAGAGGCGTACAAGAAAAAAGGTAAAAGCTGATTTTTTTTTTTTTTTGATGCCTTGTTTGAAGATGCCTTTGGCGATAGAGGCCTAGACGGAAGAATCAAAGTGCATCTCAAAGCTCGAGGCCAAAGCCGGGCGAAGCAGCGCCCCAGTGTGGTCCCAATAAGGCAGAACAGAGATCAGAGGAGTCCTGCAGGTGCAGACCTCTACAACCTGAGATGCATACAGAGAAAGACGTCTGCCAAGGAGGAGAAAATCAGAACGGATGAGCCAACTGGGTGTAACTCACTTGACACCTGACAGCAATAGATTATAAAAAGGCTCTGAGGTTTCAAGCAAGATGCATTTCAATACATTTACACAAGTGAGTTGGACAAACATTCAATCAACAGTCCTGTCTCAGACCAAGCTGCTGGAAAACTTAAATAAAAATTACAGCAGCGCTGTGGCATCGCCTCAACCCAGGTGGCCATTTTAGCCATTAGAGTCAATCAAACATGGGCCACTGGTGGACTGTGAGTGGGCGGTGGGACTCAGGCACAAAGCTAGACAAGAGGGACGGCGTGCAAGTGGGAGAAGGAGAAAGAGAGATAGAAAGGAGACACGGAGAAGGAGAACAACGGTTTGATGGAGTAACAGCTGACACTTGTAGAACTGTAGAGAGCGGCCACTCCACAGAGCGGGCGAGCTGAGGCTGTTAACAATGAAGGCGGCGAGGCACAAGAAGATGAGGTTCTGACACGGAGGACGCCATCAACAGCTCCTGCAGCTCATTACAGCCCGTCTTCTGATTATCTAAAAAGGGCCGCTATAGAAAGACAGAGTAAAGGCGGGAGTCTCAGCTATGAAAGGAGAGTACTGGCACAAAAGAAGGAGGGAAGGATGAAAAGGACGAAAGGATATGTAAGAAGGAAGGGAGGGGAAAAAATCCAGCAGAGAGAATGAATGTACACAGGAAGGGAAAGTAAACGCGGGAGGAAGGTTCCACCATACGTTTTCATTAAGTTTGTCAAAGTTTTGTCGAACTCTGTGAGTTTTGTGTTAACTCACCATGAATCATGGCACCACATCACTAAGTGAGCTGGATAAACACAAGGCTCTTCTCTAAGCTGACGGGAAGGAAATCTTGCCCGCAGCAAAATCCTCCTGTGATCACGGTAATACCGAGCTCAACTTTGTCAATTCTAATTCCGAAGGCTGGAATAAAGGGAGTGAAGTGAGTGACACATTTCCAAAAACCCACACACTCTCCTGCTCCCCGCTCTTTTTCCCCGAGTCTGCCATGAATAGATTTGGGGTTGTCAGAAGAAGCGGGGGAGACGATGCATATTCTCATCACCCAGGTGTAATATAAACAGATAGAGGGAGAGAGAGGGGAGACAGAAAGGCATACAGTTGTTCTCAGATGTCAGAAACTGAAGCAAAATCTTGAAATGTTTCAGTACACAGCAGGAAGAGACTGATGAAAACACCAACACACACAAACCCACTCGTTCTCCCCACACACAGCAGGCCTCACACTTGACTTCACTTAAACTTTATTGTCACTAGTGGGAAGAATATTCTCACTGCATCCGTAAATCAATAAAAACCACGCTCCAGGAGCAGATACAACACTACGGGCAAGGCAGAGGTTTTAAGCCAGTGAGGAACTCGCTGGATATTGACCAAAGATATTGACCTTGTTAATTGTTGCGCCACAGACTTAATGTGAAAAGAACAGTGTGGATGACTGGACTGCAGTCAGAGAGAGAGAGAGAATAAAGACGTCCGCCTTGAAAAGCACAGTGTGAGATGTTCCTAAAGCATCAAAGTGTTTCTGAAAGAAATAAAAGGCGTTGGAGTGAAATCGTAAGTTGAAGTGTTATCCTTGATACGAAGCATTAATAGCTGTCCTTCTGCTGATAAAATCTCTAAAGTTACTTGTGAAACTCAAAGCACCGGTAGCATGCCATCTCATTGACAACCAACAGACGTATCTGTAAATAATGTATCGGTGATCTAAGCTGATACTCCACCATACACTATTAAAAACACACACACTTTAATCCCCAGCAGATTTATAACAGACCTTGTCAATAACATAAAACTAAAAAAATAATTAAAATAATTAAATTATCCTAATGAAACCTTTTCAGATTGCAAGTAAAGATTTAAAAAGTCATATAAGAAATAAGATTTTGACTAGTAGTCGGTTCCAGTGAGATCATGTTTTTCTTTTGGGTATTTGTTCAGCATAGAGAACGGTGCTAGAACTAGATGATGATGGTTATTATGTGCTAAACACTGATCCCAGGATCATGGGATAAAACATTTGTAAGGTTAAAAACAGGCGTTATGTTTAGTCCATCCGTCAGCACTGGTGATAAAGTCTGTTTTTTTGTCCGCTCCGTCCACTGACATCCATTTGTGAAAGAACACGATCTCAGCTCTTTGTTATTGTTTAGTTCTTCATTTCAGAGTCCACAGAAAGAGAACACAATGAAACCCAAGAAGAAAGCATACTTCTGCGACAAAGATTTACAACTTTGTCTTCAAAATTTATCACCAAACAATTTTGAATCCTCCATCTGCTCCCCCCTTTCCTCCCTCTTCATCTTTAAACAGTTTTTACACTGACCTCGTTGCTCCTTGTCGTCCTAAATCAGAGCTTATTTTCTTTACTGTCATCACTCTTCCTTCTGCCTACAGCCTCCCACCTCTGCTCCTCTCTGTCCAGGATTCATGCTCTCTCCTCCATGTTTGTAAAAACAATTGTTCTAAAATGTATTGAATCAGCGCACAGTTGCCATTTCTGCCACAGGAGGGACGGATTGTTGGTACGGTATCTTGACAGCAATCTGAGGACAGCCTGTGGCCAAGTGGATAAAGACCTGTAAATCAGGGGATTGCTGGTTCAAATCCCAGCCCTGGCAGGATTGTGGCTTGTTGAGCAAGCTCCAAAACTCCTCTTTGATACACGAGTGCACTCAAATGTTTTCATTTCAGAAACTAATCTGCTCTCAAGGGCAGAGGTGCCCAAACTTTTTCTGCAGCACCCCCTGTTCATAGATAAAACTATTGTTGCACTTCCCTAACCCTAACCCTAACCACATTCACAGGTTCTCCTTACAAAACTCCACTGAGCTCTTTGTAAATCCTACAAAAAAGCTACTCTCAATGAACAAAGTAAATGACATTTCACATCAGTGCAACTTCCCTTACTATGAAGAAAAATGAGGAAATTACCAAATGTGAAACTGATTTGCTTGACTGTGCCTCCCCTGCAATATCTCCCTCCCTGAGCTCCCTGGGGGGTTCCGCCCCTTACATTGAGAACCAATGCCTTAAGGGAGTAATGGAGAGATGAGAATTTAATTAAAACGAAGGCGGTAAACGTTGTTTAAAGAAAAACTAATATGAATGTGAGATAAGGTGAGCATGACTTAATATTTAATTAAAGGTGATGAGGCCACAGCTGTCTACAAAAAAATGTGAAATAAAACATTTTGAATACAAATCAATCAATTTGTATAGTGTTGCCTTTGAACACGGTTTTGAGTCGGAGGGAACAAGTGACCAGACTATTACACAAATACGTCAGTCTCAAACACTGCAGAGGCAATCTATAAGTGCCGCAACGCAATTGTCCTTAAATGTCAAGCAGTGGTCACATTCAGAACTGGCAGCATGGAGTTAGAGACGACGGAGCTGTAGAAAGAGAGCGAATGAAAGGTCAGAGAGGCCGAGGAGAGGGGGAAAAAAAGAAGTGGTCTGAATAGCACACAGTGGGAAGACATTGGCCACAGAAAAAGAAAAGCAATAGTGCAGCAGAGCGCTCCTGTGGAGACGAAGGGCGATGTGAAAGGAGGGTGAAGGATGGGAATGATTGAGATCTGAAGATCGGGGCTTAATCATTCTCCCCTCAACGTCCACCTCAATCTCTGGGCTCAATAGTACAGAAATCCCTGTGGTCGTCCACGTCTGATGACAAATGCACGACTTAGAAGAGAACACACTGCCAAACACACTGTACAAGCAGTAAAGTCAGGCCAAAATACTCAGCTATATGATGGATCTCACCATGTGTAATATTAACAGTGAAATAAAAACAGATATTACACATTTGTTTGGACACACCTGGGAATCTTAAAGCCACTGTTGTCATTTACACTACACTGATTCATTCCTGTGACCCGTAGTCAGCTTGAAGACGGAGCTGAGGACACAGAAATCCACACGAATACATAGAGAAAAGAGCGAGGTTCAAAAAGAGTTCAGGCTCCGGGTAAAACTGAAGTCACAGTAGTTTCACCGAGCAGGAAGGATATATGTTACTTGTCGTAAACTTCCTCCGCAGTCTTGCCTGACTTTCCACTACACTGACGTCTTATCTGATTTCCAGTCAAAAGTAAATCCAACCCAATTTCTGAAGACTTCCTCAGAGATGACCATAATGCAGTGCGCTGCGTCGGAGGCAGCTCGTAATCTGGTCTGCATTATTGTACAAAGGCATGTACAGCTCATGTACTCCCGTGTTGAGTGGACATGTTTTCAATGCTACAATTACTTTCATCAACCCATTACCGCATGAAGCCTACTTGATTTGCACAGACGGAGTGGAAACTTTGCAGAAGGAACATCGGCGGCTGGAGCAGAGGCAACATGGAGGACTAAAAGTAGACGTACAGGAGAGAAGGCTGCCAAAGCCTCGTCCTCAGCTCAAAGGAAAGTGAAAGTGAACTCCTTGTCATTGTAACACATCACTGTGACACAACCAAATGTGACCTCTGCTTTTAACCCATCACCAAAGTGAACAGTGGGCAGCTTTAAGAACCCGGGCAGCAGTGTGTGGGGACAGTGCCACGCTCAGAGCACCTCAGTGGTAACTAGCTGGTGGACTCAAACCTGAAACCTTCCAGACCAAAGTCTGCTTCCTTAACCACTCAGCACATATTAAGGAGGGGAACACAAACAACAGTTCCAAGCCCTCTTCGTGTTCCTTACCCTGTCACCAGGTCGAACATTCATTACTACAGTAGCATTAGCAAACGCAATGTGAAAATGTATCCTCACTCCTACTATGCTAAAAGATAAATTGTGGACTTTTATAAAGAAAAGTATTAAAGCTTCAACTCCATCCACTGGCTTAAATTTCAGCTTGAGGAGAAGTCCTACCTCCTGCAGTGTAGAGGGACTGAGGGGTGTGTGACAGCATGTAATCTGCTTTTTAACAGATGTAAAAAAAAAAAAAAGAAAGAAAGAAAGAACGTTGGTCTTTGGCTTACAAAAGCTTCATGCACAATTTAAACACATTTGTGATTTAATTTAAAAATATTTAGCAGTTCTTAAGTAACTGTTCTAGATAGAATTCATAGCTGAAACTGATAAAAATACATCAGTGTGTCTCTTTTCGGGAATTTCCTACTTTGAAACAGAAAACAAAACAGTTTTTTTTTTTTGTTTTCATTTGTTAATGGTTGCTTGTTGCCTGATTTGTTGATGCGACAATGTCAAACAGCAACCATTGTTTTTCTTCATTTTATTACTTCTGCCAAACAGGACAGTTTAAAAAAAATGCAATTTTTCTTCAAACTTTTCTTCAAAATCTTCAAACAATCTTATTTTTAATGTTAAAACTTTTATTTTAATATTATATCTTCAAACCATCTGTCTAAGAATGTTTGGTATTCTTTCTTTTTCTATTCAGAAAAGACATTATCACTGCAGGTGGTTTTTCTTCTGAATAGCGGTCATTATTTTACTTGATTTATTTAATTTCTGTAAAATTATTATTATTTTTTTTTTTTAAAAAAGAATGACGCATTTTAGATTTGGAATATTTCCAAAATCACATCACACCAATTTCCCACTGCAGGTCACAAAGGGTTTGGCCATTTTCTAGTTAGAAAATTTTCACTTATAATGTGCCTGCAGCAAATTTATATCACTACTCATTTTCAAACAGTGGGACATGACCCAGTTACAGATTTTTACAAATTAGGTTTATTTGAGTTTTTAAAAATGTCAGTGAATGGAGTGGGATCAATCCTAAAAAAATGAAAGACCAAGAAATAATGTCTCCAACTTTGCCATAACTTCCACCCAGGCATCTTTATATAGTAATAAGTTCTCTCCTATTTTTATATTATAACCATTGTTGTTTTGAGAAGAGAACAATGTCTAAACCGTGAATGGCTTTGTTTTGAGTTTAGACATGAGCATGTTTTACTGTTGTACTCCTACAGGCATTTTATTTTGAAAATAAAGGGATTTAAGAGATTTTGATCAAATATAATAGTCTAAATAGTTTAGTATTGCACAGGTGAGTTCCTTTGAATTAGTGACAAAGATAATGACTTCCTTATATTGCCCCTAACCCACACTGTTTTGTGAGGTATTTTCTAAGGCAGGCATGGCCAACCCGTGGCTCGGTAGCCACATGCGGCTCTTTGCCCGGTTTCAGGCGGCTCTTACGTTTATGTAAATTTTTTGGTTTGTGTTTTTTTTTTAATGATACGTCAATCTCACGAGCATGTGCGTTGATGCAAATGACTTGGAGGGATAAAGTATTGAGTAGTTTAGATTTGCCAAATTCACTCTCAAAATGGCAGGTAAAAAATGCACAGCAAAAATGCAATTTTGAAGATGAACATAAGACAACAGGAGTGGGAGAGTGTTTTTTTTTCTTCTTTCTAATGGCAAGCCATTCTGCTGATACTGTATGTCAGGTATCATAAGGACAATGCAAGGATTCATATCTTCAGCGGCACTTCAATTCAGTCTACGCTAACATCGACCAGATATTTTCAATGGGGACTCGTGGTTCTTTGGAGCAACACAGTAGAAATTGTGGTTCTTAGCCTCTGACTGGTTGGCAACAACATATGAAAAAAATTATAAAAACATTTTTTAGAGCACCTGTTTTTAACTGAATTAACAGTGCTTCACATACAGAAGTACAGTAGTTCCCATCGATGGCTGCAGCACACAGGGGACTCCCCTGAACTGTCCACAGTACATTCATCTGCAGATCAAGACCTGTCCATTCATACAAAGACAAAGCCTATGGTTGATGATCTTTTAACCCCTCGACTGTTAATGAATAACTTAATGATTGACAACTGTAGGGGTCACCACGTCCATCTGCTGTCTTCTCTGTGACCTTAAACATCTTTTTTTCTGGAGATATCCTGTGTTATAGTTCCACCCACTGATCCATACAAAGGTGATTTACCAGGTCACACCTGTGTTTGTCTGGTTGACGTTGGTCAGAAGAGTGGAAATGTTAAAGCTACAGCCGCATATTTGCCAAAGGGGTTGTTACTGGACCCTAGATACTTTCAGTCAGTGAATCCTGAGTCATGTTTGTGTGCAAATGTACTGACCATTGACTCAGCGATGAGTGTATCTGTCAGCAGGGCTTTGTTGGTTTCATCCCTCACTGCTTCGGTTGGACGATACGTGAGAATCTTTATCTCCTGCAGCCGAGGGAAAGGGGGAGAGGGAGGGAGAGAGAGAGAGAGAGAGAGAGAGATTAATAGGTGTGGGTTTGTGATATGGCTTCACTGGATGACCCAGAAAAACAAAAAAAAAAGTCTTCCTCACGTCCTTGACCAAGTTTACTTTGACACTGTGATGAAGTTAAAGTACAAAAACCCTCAAGGACACGGGGAAGACAGAAACAGGAAGTATCTGGGACTCTCCACCTGATTCATTTACTTCTCCAAGTTGCACTCACGAGGGCATAAATGTTTCTTTTTTGTTTTTGTGACCTTCTTTGTGATCTGTCGGAATGCCTCCACACTTTTGTGTTTTATGTGTTTTTATGTGTTTCACTTTTTTCCCTCCAGCGACTCTACGGTCACAGTAGTGAGATCATTAAGATGAATATTTAGCTCAGTGAGTCAGAGGGGAGACAAGTTTACCTGCGCGCACAGCGGCCTCAATCATATTTCGGAGCACTCGGGAAAATGATTTTCCACAAATCACATCATCTTTGTAAGCAGCTTCTAATTAAAAAAGAAAACTTTACCTGTTTGGGATCTACAGTACAGACCCTTTCTACCTGCTGTTTAAATGTAGATACATACACAGATATACATATACACGTATATATTTATATATAAACACACACATTAATAATAATATTAATAATAATATTCCCAAACACAGGAGGCTACATTATAAATATATATATAAGTAAATATATACATATATAATATATATACGTATATACTGTATATATATGTGTATATATATATATATATGTACTATATATATAAAAACAGTATACAGTGGTCCCTCGTCCATCACAGGGGTTATGGTCCAAGACCGCCTGCGATAGCCGAAGAACTCCGATGTAAAGACATGATAGTTATTCAGTTATTTATGTATATATTAACCCTTTACGAACCCTTTAGGAGACATCGTAGGACATCAAATATGACAAAAAAAATTCACAAATCTCGTTTATCTGTACGTACAGGTTAGTTCTTGCAAATATTCTGTATGTAAACGTTTAATTTTTTTTTTTTAGGCTAGAAAATGCTTACTTCATCATAATAATGAAAATATTGGAAATTAAAACATTTTCATATACCACTAAAACACGTGATCGAGCAAAAAATCTGCAATACAAGAATACATATAAAATATTAAAAACCTGCAATGCACTGAGGGCATGACAGCCAAACCGCTATACAGTGAGGGACGACTGTATATGTATATATATACATAAATATCCATCCATCCATTTTCATCTGCTTATCCATTACCAGGTCGCGGAGGCAGCAGTCACCACCCAAATCACACTGCACCGAACCAACCCCCTATACATATATACATAAATATAAATACATTAAATATATAGGCTGTGGAGTTCTAATCTGCCATCAAACTGTTTTCTTTTTAACTTCAATTGCTGTTTTATTAATTAATAAAAAGATAAAATGTGATCAAAAAGTGTGGTTGTTTGTTTTGTGTCAATTTTAGTCCCAGACTATTTCAAAACTCTTCTTCCTTGGGTTATGACAGGCTCCTGCAGGGTTCTTTTACCCATAAATGGACTCAATACAGCATTTTTATATGAAGAGAAAATACACCAAAACAAAAAGAAAGAAAATAAAATAAAATGGTGAAACACTGGGAATAGGGCTCCAGGTATCATATACAGGAAACGTCAATGCTCTGCTCCGCTCTCTGTGGAAACGTATGCAATCTCTGCCTGTCAGGTGGGGAGCCACTCATTTTAAGGGCATTTCAGGTCTTCCCATTTCTCTGTGTTTCTTTGCCACACCAATCTCCTTTCTGTCAAGCCCAAATGGCTCAGTCCCCTTGCATCTCTCCTTTCAATTTCCTTCCTTCCCTCTTTATCCCTTCTTCCTCTGTCTCTCTCCCAGCTGGCTCTTGGCCTCTGCCCAGGTCGGCGCTTTGCCCCAGAGGATCATGACAGTCTGCATCACTGTTTCCACTAGTGTTGGTGGACAGCCATGGACTTAATCTTTGTAATGTCCTTTTTATTTAGAGAATAGGAAAGCACAAATATGAGTGCATGGACAAAGCCAGGGCGCAGACAAAACAGCAAACACTTGACCGGGCTTTTTACATTTTTGAACAAGCAAAAACATTTACTGGATTCTGAAACACCGTAAGAGAAATCTTTTGCTATTCATGATTGTCCTCGGAGGACACAACATTGTGAATACTAAAAAGATATTCTTTAGAGATGAGACAAAGATATACAGATTTGACCAAGGCCTTAAAAACACTCAAAGGAAAAAACTGGTCTCCAGCCAGACACACTGTATTTCACAGCTAATTTAAGGGTCATAACCAAGATGGAAAAAGTAAATGCATTGTTACTCAGAGAACACAAATACACACATCAACTTATGTAAAAAGAAAGTTTTCCTCAAACGTCATTTACATTGGTGAAAACAAGTTATAAAGTAATAAAGCAGAGTGTGAGACACAAATACACGCAATAAACACACCAATCACCCTTGACCTTACCAACACTTACAGACAAAGCACTGTGTTGTCTGTGTCCAACAAAAGTAATGTGGACTGCTACAACAACTTCATCTCATGGGTTTGTTGACACCAGTGCTGGTAAGACTGTAGTGCATTGTTTCCCAAAGACTGGGTCGCAACCCTCAGGTGGGTCGCAAGTTTTTTTTTGGGTCTTCTCGCATCATGTTTCTCAGGAGTTTATGAATAATGTCTATTGACTTCACGAAGGTTTGTGACTTTTAAAATATGGGTCCCCAGAAAAAAAAGTTTGGGAAAAACTGCTGTAGTGGACGAGTGCTACCACAGTGGCACGATAGCACTTTGTAAACTGGCTGACATACTTGGAGGAGTTTGACACAGTGGCACAATAGCACTTTGTAAACTGGCTGACATACTTAGGCCTGGCTATTTGTCCTGACAACTTTGCCCACCATAGCCCACCCACAAAGCATAACAATGAGATAATGAGAGATATTTCATTAACCCTCTCAGTGTTCCTATTTGTATTTATATACATAAATAAATATATATACCTATAACCATCCATCTATCCATCCATCCATTTTCATCCGCTTATCCATTGGTGGAGAGTCCACTGGAAGGTACTGTACCAACTGCCCTAACCGGGATTCGAACTTGCCCAGGAGGTGAACCCTGGGGTTCCACACCAATGACACCAATGAGACATTGCCTCTGGGACATAGCACCACTAACCTATATCTGCATCTTCTCAATGCAAGACATGTTACTGAGAGTACAAACAGTACAAACAAAGTCTTTAACCAAAAGTAATTCAACTTATTACAGTATAGAAAACAGCACTTAAGTTTCATTTTTTCAAAACACTGCACTGGAAAACAGAATGCTTTGCTCATGTCCATTATCAAACCCATAACGCAGAAAATCTTAGTTTTTCTAAAATACTCCTTACCCAAATATGTCAGTGTTTCATAATAACTTTCATAATCGTCTTGTTTTTCTTTTTTTTGTTGTGACAAAAGGTCAGGAGCTAAACTAAATGTCACCTAAGTGTAGCAGACAGACAGACAGAAGGGGTTTTAGCTATAGCACCAACAAAAAAAAAAAAGATTTAATGTCAGAGCTAATGTGGCACAGTGCCCCACAAGGCTTACCTTCTGCTGCTGGTCATCCTCCATCTTTTGACGGTGCAATGAGTCACACGGTCTGGAAGACGGCCACCGGCGCTTTGGCCTTTGCTTCCTCCCACGTGTCACCGTCTATACTTTCTCCTTGGATTAAAGGCCGTCGTTAACCTACAAATTATGACAAAAATAGCAACAGGGTCCAGACAGACTTCACTGTGTGTAAAACCCAACGTAAATCATAGTAAAAAATGGTGCTGATTAAAGAATTAAGGCCAAGAAATAAGCCATTAAATACGGTGTTAAAACTTCAGACAAGGCCACGCTGGTGCTGTGACAAAGGAAACTAAACGACAAGTAGGAAACGTTAGTCATAGTGTAGCAGATGATCATTTGGAAAACCCTGATAGATTGTAATACAGAGCCCACAGAGCCCAGTCCTCCGCAAAATGGCATGTACAAATGTACCTTTTTTGCGAAGGGGCTTATTTAATGAGCAGGCCAATAAAGAAGAAAGCTATCAAGCTTTGAAATTACAAAACAGTCACAACTAAATCAGGCATTGTGAAAAAGAGCTACAAAACCCTGATGTGAAATGAGGTCTGGTCGAGAGCCTTGCAAATGTAATTAAAGTCAGGTCATGTTTAATGGGCAAGAAAATGAAAGGCTTGTGGTGTGGAAAGCTGAAAAACAGCTCCTGTTCCTCTGGAGCCACGTTCAAGCTCCTGCCTTCATTCCACACAGAAATCCTTTCCCCTCACTCTCATTTAGAAGCTGTTGCACTCACAAACCCAGTCAGCCTCAAAATCTTACAGTCACCGACACACCTCGAGTCGAGGTGTTTTGTGAAAGACAATGCGGCTCTACCGGACGGCAGCAAACACGATCTTTTTGTACGATTCGGATGACGATATGAGAGCAGGTTGTCGTCGAAAAGTCAGTATGACGTCTGTGCCGTTTCACAGGTGAGGCGTCAGCGTTAGCCCTCAGCTCCACGGCTCCAAGTCAGGGAAAGAAAAGCATGCCATGTCTGAGTGGGAGTGACAGGGCGAGTCAGTGAGTTTAGCAGCTTAATTGGTGTAGCAGCGGGGCTCCCTGGGCTCTAGCAGTGATACAGGTCCTTGGAGCAGCTCCTGGTCAGAGGGTCAGGGCTCGCTGTCACCCAGAGAATAGTGATTAGCTCTGGGTAATGGTGCCTGCCAGCCCAATTAGTGGCTTTACATGCGACCACTACCCCTCAGCCGCTAATTACAGACATGCCGTGAGTGTGTGTGAGCGAAACAGGACGTCGAGGTGTTTTGTGAAAGACAATGCGCGATGTGTGTGTGTGTGTGTGTATGCATGTTTGCCTGTGTGTCAGTGAAGAAATAACAACCCTAATAAATAGAAACCTGCGTGCGTGTGTTCTTTGTCCGTTCACACCTTCGCTGCCCCCGACATCCACCCTGTCACTTCTAATTAGAGCGAGCCTCAGCTCTCAGTTGCAGCATCACCTACCTCACCAGACCTCATTTGCTCGACACCATGCGTCAATCAGCCATTAATGCCCTCATTCATGGCTAGACATGACCCACCATCCTCAGTTTAATACAGAGGAGCTGCTGAGAGCCACTGTGGGGAATAATCTCATGGATCTGAAGGATGGCGCAACACTGCTCTATTTCAATTTACTCCGCTCTTTCTCATTGAGGTGACCCAAATGTCCAAAATGCACATAAGAGGAGAAAACATAAACACTGAGGTTCTGTTCCCTGAAACTGAGATACAGAGAGAAAGTAAAAGAGAAATGGAGAAAACATGTAGCCAAACAACACTGCACTTAAAAACCTAAAATAAAGAGATGCCACACACACAAAAAAAAAACAACCCCCCACCCCGACACCTCTGCCCTTTCTCTTAATTTTATTATCTACATGAAAATCTCACAGGTGGAAAACAAATTACAGCCCTCGTGCAGCGTTACTGCCGTATTCATTTTCTTTTCCACACAAAACATTTAGATAACCCAATATAAAAATACGGCCGGGTAAATGAATATAATATGTGACGTTAATTAGAACTGTTTTTTGTGTTTGTGTGTGTAGTGGTTTGGAAAGTGACCAGCTCGTCCAAGCTCCACTCGAGAGGCTTCGCTTCTAAAACGGGAAAAAAAAAAATTTATTGTGTTTCTACTTAATGTACTTTTATATTTTAAAACACACCAAAACAGAATGGTCCACACAGAATAAAAGTGGTTTTTGTGGTGTCATAAAAAGCGCCCTGCAACACATTACACACACAATACCTGCGTCACATAAATATCACACGCTATTGACACAGATCTGCTAGAAAGAAACTGGAGTGCAATTAAGTAGCGCGGGTGTGAATCACGCCGCAGCGTTTTCCCTTTCATAAAGCTGCGTGTCGACGACTCAGATGTCGGCGTGTGTGCACACAGAGTACCATCGCCAAACACATTAGCAGATGAAATGTTCCGCTCTGATTACGGTCGTGCAAGCGTCGCTATTCATCTGTGTTAATGTACTTATTGAGGACTGCAGGGTCAGAACAGTGTGGAACAGGGGAGAACAGGGTTGTCAAAGAGAGGAGAAGATGAGAGAGAAGTTGAAGGGGAGCCAGGAATATGTTGGGTACCAGCTGATATAGGACACGGTGTGCTACACCAAAAAAAAAAAAAAACCACAATGTCAGAATCTACCTGAAGGGCTTTCTCACTGGCCCAATAAACAACTTCATCAGGGAGCTAAACAAGAAGGCAGCAGCACACTGCCATCACCCGCAGCTACAGACAGAGTAATATGAATTAATGTGAATGCATTAGAAAATAAATTAATTCCCAGTCGAGGAGTAAGTGAAAGTGATCTGAGCTAACGGTACCGGAACTAGGTGCTAATGAGAGGAAGATGCAGCATCTGCTGTGTAGAATCCTAACCATTTCGACCAATGATGAGTCAATCGCCACATTAAGATGAGTCACACCTGTCGCCGACTGTTAACTTTTATCACACCGCACGGTTTACTGCTTTTAATTGCGGAGAGGCAGTAAAATAAATGAGAGGAAGTAAATCACAGCGGACTGTAACTCAGCATCTACTGTCTTGTATGACAGGCTGTCTGAAAAGTGAACGCACTCGTAAAAATGAGTGCGATGTGTTACACCTGCATCACCTTCACACAATAATAGAAGTGGTGCTTTGTAAGGTTCAAGTTCTGAATAACTGAGAGGAAATTACTCACAGGGAATCCAGTTAATTCAGCTTTACATGGTATAAACACAGACAACAAGACAAAAATGGAACAGCATTGAATCAAGGACTTTTTCCAGCACAGTATAAATGATCACAGAATTAACACTTTATAAGTAAAGTGCTGATGTTCAGGTCTATCTAAGAAAAAAAAAACCCACTGCTAGTTGCTTATCAAAAAATGTAACACTGGTGGATCTAAAAAAAAAAACCATGGGGTAAAAATGTAATGATTACAATTTAAGTAAAAAAAAACATAGCTGTGTTAAAAAAAAATAGTAAGTTGATACAATGAGTGATGCTCATTGCAAAGACCAAATTCAGACTTTTTTAACTAAAACACTATGTCAATCATTATTACAAACGTCTAATAACAGATAGTTAATCCCAGCTTCCCCATCACTTTTTGCTGCGGTCCATTCTGGCCCTGCGTGGGCTAACGCTGTGTGTTTTCTGACCTTTACTGAATCAATGAGAGTTGAAGAAACACACAAATCCCGATTCAAACAGATTAATAAGGGAGGTTTTCTTTTACCTTCACATTTTAAATGTCAATTTGTTAATATTAGGCGCTCCAAACAGAGACACAGAAAGAGGGGAGCTATTTTTAACAAGGGAACCAATAGGAGATGACAGCGAGTAAGTGTGACAAATGGCGGCTGTGTAAAGTGTCCCATTTAGAGGAGACCGGCAACATAAGGGCCACAATCTGAGGCGATTAATATTTAATGTTCAGACAGTCAAAGTAATATAATTCATTGCAATTAGGTCCAAACTGAACTTTTCCAGCAGCATGTGCACACATCTTTAACATGACAGTGATTTTGGTCATTTAAATCGTTTCTTTTGGAGGCTGCTACTGCAGTTAATTAGGCGGTGAAAAATGGAGAGTGTGTGTGCCGAGCTATGGTGTGTATCATCAGAAGATAGATGGAGATGGCTTTATGAGGCAAAAGTTTATTCTTACATTATTTCATTCAACACCTAATTTTTCAGACATTTTTAGGGGAATGGATCAGATATGACCACATTGTTTCAAAGGAAGTTTACCTTCAATTACACGAGAGTGTAGTTTGTGCTGACTTCCTACTGTGTGAAGATGCCTCCACTATGATTAGACTGAACATTAGATTAGACTGAGCAGCTACAGAGCACCAAAGCTTTGGTGCCTATTCACATGCTCCACGCAACAAATACATGTGGTATTTTTAGGGCAAAAATGCTGCTTGCACAACTCTGAAAAGAGTTCTTGATAACATCATGAGGACAAAAAGACAATGCCTGTCATTCTGCCACACATTTTAAAGCTTATTGCACAAGTAAACTCGCTGGGGGAGAGAGCACATCGCCATGTGCTGCACAGATGTGTTACATTAGAAAAAAACATATGGAAGATGTGAAAATACAGTATTTAGGTGGATGTTTGTGTTAGAGAAGAAAGAGATAGACAGATAGGTAGCATTGTTAGCAGACAGACAGGTAGATAGCAGTGTTAGCATTGTTAGCAGATAGATACTGTATAGTATATTAATAATTATTTAGTTTTTTTCAAGCTCCTTTTATAATATTTACCAGGTACAGCCCACTAGTATCGCTGTGTGCTGTACTTGCATGGTCATCGACTATTTATGTCGCAGGGACAAGATTCTTCTGGACAGACACCAGAAGAGGGCCGGACAGTCAAATAAAACCAAAATAAAATTCAAAGTTTTCTCTAAGGGAATGTAAATTAAGTTATAATATATTTAAGGATTACTGATAGTTATTTAGGTCTCAGCTGTTGTTTTTTTTTAGTTGTTCTGATAGTGGGGACCTCATGTTATTTTTTCTGATGGTCACCATTTTGGAATTCAGTCGCTGGCTGGATTGAATTGCTTGGTAGGTCAAATATGGCCCACAGGCCACTAGTTGATTACCACCACTGTA